GGTACAGCTACTAAAAATTTTTTCCCACATTGTAGGTTGTCTGTTAGCTCTTTTGGTGGTTTCTTTTGCAGTGCAGAAGCTTTTCAATAAGGTGAGATCCCAGTTGTTGATTCTTTGTGCTAGTTCCCGTGCTGCTGAGGTTTTGTTCATAAAGTCTTTTCCTATGCTAATGTCTTCAAGAGTTCTACTTAACTTATCTTCCAACAAGTTTAGTGTTTCTGTTTTAATATTTAGATCTTTAATCCAATTTGATATTAGTTTAGTGCATGGTGATAAGTATGGGTCTAGTTTTAATCTTTGGCAAGCTGAAATCCAGTTTCGCCAACACCATTTATTAAAGAGGCTATCTTTTCTCCAGTGAGGGTGGTTGTCTCCTTTGTGAAAGATGAGGTGGCTGAGTATGTCTGGAGTTGCTTCTGCATCTTCTAATCTATTCCACTGATCCTCAGTTCTGTTCTTTTGCCAGTACCATGGTGTTTTTTTATCACAGTAGCTTTGTAGTATAGTTTCAAGTTGGGCATTGTGATAACCCCAGCCATGTCTCTGTTGCCTAGAAGTGCTTTTGCCATTCTAGGTCTCTTCTGGTCCCAAATGAATTTTTGGATTGTTTTCTCTAGTTCTGTGAAGTACATTGTTGGAATTTCAATTGTCAGCTACTTTTTTTTCTTTTTTTTTTTGAGACAGTCTCACTATATACATACGTATACATACATACATGCATGCATGTATATACAAGGCTGGCCTTGTAATCACTATGTATAGCCCAGTCTGGCCTTGAACTCATGGCAGTCCTCCTGCCTCAGCCTCCCAAGTGCTGGGATTACAGGCATGCCCCATCATGCCCAGCTGGGGCAGCTGCCGTTGTTTATATAATTCATTGTAAATAACTTTTATAATTGTCCTAAGTTAAGATTAGTATTAATAGCTACATGTTGACATGTATCCCTGTATTAAATCAAAGTGCTCTACCTTGGGAATATTTTAGGGATGTAGGTGAAAGGAAGGTAATTATACAATGAAAATAACTTTTTACCTAAGGTTAATGCTTATTTGCAGTTTGGATCTTCATTAAAAATTAGGTGAATATAGAAGTTTTATTCTTTTGGTTGTGGCATCTTTTCCTCCAGGAGTTCACAGGGAAGGAAGGAAGGGCATCAGTATCACTTCAGAATTACCATGCTTTCTTCCGGGAGCTGGACATTGAGGTCTTCTCTATTCTGCGCTGTGGACTTGTGACCAAGGTCATCTTAGATACTGAAATGCACACAGAAGTAAGTAACCTACTGGGATTTCAGAACTCTTCTTCTTTCTTTTTCTTCCTCCTCCTCTTCCTCCTCCTCCTCCTCCCCTTCCTCCTCTTCCCCTTCCTCTTCTTCCCCTTCTTCCTTCCTTCCTTTTTTTTTTTTCCTCCCCGGTACCAGGGATTGAACCCTGGATCTTGAGCTTTCAATGTACACGGCAGCACCACTGAGCTAAATCCCCAGCCCTGGGATCTCAGAACTCAATGTTCTTTCAGGAAGTTCCTCAGCTCTTCTTATTTAAAAAACAACACTGTGGGGCCAGGGATTTATCTCAGTGGTTTCGCTGTCTGCCTTGTAAGCACGAGGACCTGAGTTTGATCCCCGGTACCAAAAAATAAAATTAAATAAAATTAAAATAAAATAAAAAACAACACTGTAATACTGAGAAAAGTTAAAGTGCTGTTTGTAGCTCTGAGGCAGAGCACTTGCATAGTATTCATGAAAGCTTAGGTTCCATCTGCAGTACCATAAGAACAAAGAAGGAAGTAGTGATTTAGACCTGACTTGAAAGCCTTTTAGAGAAGAGAGTAATGAGAGTAGTCATCCTCATCACCTGGACGGTTATAAGCCAGAAGTTTTTAATGATGTGTTAGAAATGATAGATTACCGGGCCGTGGATTTAGTTCAGTGGTGCCACCAATGGCCTCGCAAGCGCAAGGTCCCAAGTTCGATCCCCAATACCGAAAAGAAATGGTAAGTTACTGATAATACTTAGTTTCCTTTTGTAGAGGAGTGCTCTTCTGGTTTATAGAGGTTAGTGGTGTTTCATGACATTTGTTCAGCATCCTACAAATGCTTCCAGAAGCCTTTTTGTGGGGAGGCATTTACTACTAATTTAGACACTGGCCATGCAGTAGTATATTCAGCAGGGTGTTTTGCTTTCAAGTAGGTTAAAACCTAATAGAGGAAATGATCTAAGTAGAATTACCTGCTCTGCTGATTGACTGTACCACATTAACAGACCAGCAAATCCTCAGTGACAGAATTGTATTTCTAATGAAATTGAGAGTGAGGACATTTTCACAGAAAGTAACTTGATAAGGGATTTCACTAGACAGTAGAATGTCTCTATAATTTAAAAAAATGGAAATACTGGTGCATTTTAAAAAATTTTTTTATTTTTTTGTGGTACTGGGGATTGAACTCAGGACCTTGTGTTTGTGAGGCAGGGGGCAGAACCACTGAGCTAAATCCCCGGCCCTACCTTGGATTTTTATTTGATAGTTATAAGAATATAGGCACCTTCACAAGAGTGAATATCTTTGTTAGAGGGAACACTGGAGATTGAACACTTCAGATTGAACACTGAATTACATCTCCAGCCCTTTTTTATTTTTATCTTTTTTTTTTTTTTGAGATAAAATATTACTATGTTGCCCAGGTTGGGTTTGAATTTGTAATTGGTATTTGTCACCACAGCCAACTTGTTTGTTTGTTTATTTATTTATTTTTATTTTTTGGTACCAGGGATTGAACCTGGGTCCTTGTGCTTGCACAGCAGGCAATGAAACCATTGAGGTAAATCCCTGGCCCTGTTTATTTGTTTTTAATAAGGTTTTTTGAGATGGGGTCTCACTATGTAGTTCAGGCTGGGCTTGAACTCACTATGTAGCCCAGGCTGGCCTCAAACTGTATAATCCTCCTGCCTTTGCCTCCCAAGTGCTGAGATAAAAGGCATCTGCCAGATGACCAGCTCTTTTCTTTTTTTTAAACCTTCACATCAGCTTCTCCGTAGAAGATTCTCCATAATTGTGTGTGGTATGAACAGTTTGAAGTGGATTACTTCATCCTTTGTGCTTCTGGCAGTGTAATATACTTGTAGAGATTCTACCTGAAGTTAATAGTAAAACATTAGGGAAAAGAAAATATGAAAGATGAAGTTGCTTTTTAGTTTGTTTTGTTTTGTTTTGTTTTGAACAAGTTCTCACTGTGTACTTCAGGCTGGCCTTGAACTCACTGTGTAGCTCAGACTGGCCTTGAACTTGTGGAGATCCTCCTGTCTCAGCCTCCCGAGTGCTGGGATTACAGGCATGTGCCATCACACCTGGCAAAATTGCTTTGAATTAGTCTTTTTTTCCCCAACAGTACTTCGGATTGTACCCAGGGGCTTGCATGTGTTAGAAAAGTTCTCTACCACTAGGCTGTATCCCCAACCCTTCTTTTTTTTTTTTTTTCCCCCAGCCCTTCTGTTTTGAGTTAGGGTCTTGCTAAATTGACCAGCTGGCCTCAAGCTCATTATCTTCTTGCCTTAGCCTCTTGAGTAGCTGGCATTATAAGCATGCATGACTGTGCCTAGCAAATCAGTCATTTTTATTAGAGCATATTTAAGAAATACATCTTGGTTTTATAGGAAGAAAGATATAGAATATATTTCTAGAGAAAAAGTATGTCTTCTAAACTATACTATGTCAGTTTCCTAGCTTATTTATTAATTTGTTTGTTTGTTTTCTGAGACAGGGTCTCACTGTAGTTCAGGTTGGCCTAGAACTTGCAGTGATCATCCTGCCTCAGCCTCCTGAGTGCTGGGATTATAGGTGTGGGCCATCATGTCCGGCTCAGATTCCTAGTTTAATAATTTGAAAGTTTGCTTTATTTTGGAAATGCTTGACTTTTTGATAAGTTGACAGAGCAGAACCAGCTACTTTTTATATGAGGTGGTGGAAATTTTTCCTTTTTTTTTTTTGTTTTGTTTTTTTTTGGTACCGGGGATTGAATTCGGGTCCTTGCGCTTGCGCAGCAGGCAGTGAAACCACTGAGCTAAATCCCCGGCCCAGAAATTTTTCCCTTTTTTAGTAGAAGTCAGATTTTTTCCTCATTGGAATGCATGAACTTGAAATGTGCTAAAAATAAAATGACTAGGACATACCTGGAATTAGTCTCTCTTTCTTCCATTTTGCAGGCTACAGAAGTTCTGCAACTTGGGCCATCGGAGCTGCTTTTCTTGCTGGAGGATCTCTCCCAGAAGTTAGAGAACATGCTGTTACCGTCTTGTACCAAAAGGATGCCCTTCCTTAAGGTCAGAGTAGGCAGAAGTGCAGTGCTTGAGCTTAGTGGCTTTGGAAACTAGCAGGTCTGAGTGTGAACAAGTCACCTCTTTTTGACCTTGTGCTTGGGTCTGTGGATAACATGTTGGTAGCCTTATTGCCAGACCATATTCATCTTGCCTTAAAAAGGAATTCTGGGCTTTGTTTCTTTCCATTTTTTCCTTTTCTCATATTTATTCCTTTCCCTTCTTTCCTTTCCCCCAACCCTCCTACTTTCCCTTCCCCTCTGGAACTTTTCTTCCTATTTCAAATTATTATACATTTTGATCCTTATTTACACTTTCAGTTTCTCACAGTGGAGAAACTATTTGGCATTTACACATGTGTGTCCTATTTATTTCACTTAAGAGTATGACCTCAATGTGCATCCATTTAGCTATAAATGTCTCTAGTTTCTCATTCTTTATGGGTGAGAAGTACTCCATTTGTAAATAGGAAGGGGTGGAGGGATTGAAAGGAGGGGAGGGGAATGGGGAAAAAATAAGAACCAAGATATATCATGTAAAGGTACAAATTCCCTAAAATGTACCAATAAACTTAGTGAATTTAAAAAAAAAAAAAAAGGAATACCGGGGCTAGGACTAGCTCAGTGGTGTGGCCCTTGGCAATGTCCCCAGGTTTGATCTTCAGCACTGAAGGAAAAAACAAAAACAGTACTCTGATAGAGCAAACAGAAAAGGTACTCAAAACAATTCCTCAGTCTTGATCTTTACTTGGGTTTTGATTTTATGATGCTGATAATCAAATCCAGGGCCTGTGAATGCTAGACAAATTTCTACCACTGAACTACACCCCTCAGTCTTCGGGTTTTTGTTTTTGTTTTTTTCTGAACTCAGGGCCTTTGCACTGAGCATATCCTCTGCCCTTTTTATTTTGAGACAGAATCTCACTAAATTTTGAAGTAGCCTAGGCAGTGTTCAAATATGTGATCCTCTTGCTTCAGCCTCTCAGAGTGCTAGGATTACAGGCAAGCATCATCATATCCAGCTAGGGTTTTGACTTTAACAATCTCTCAGACTAAGCCTGCTCCTAAGCTTCAGTATAATAGTTGGCTGCCTAGAGATGCCAGAGCCTAGGTGTTTATGTAAGGTACAAATGCATATTTAGCATGTGGGGGAACAGCTGGAGGATGGAAACAATAATACCTGGAAGACTTGGGTGTGGACATCTAAACATTTGGTCTCCATTCCATCAACCTAAGTGATTTCTGCTTTCAAGTGACTTCGTTACTTGTAACTGACCTATTCTTTGGGTTTTTTTTTTGGTATAGGGGATCGAACTCTGGTCCTTCTGCTTGCGAGGCAGGCGGCGGAACCACTGAGCTAAATCCCTGGCCAGACCTAGTCTTCTTAAACATTGCTGTTCTAAAAAAAGCCAATCTGAGATTACAGAGGGGTACCACCACGCCCAGCTAGGAACAAATTTTTGGGGTTTTTTTTTGTTTGAAACAGGGTCTCATTTTGTAGTTCAGGCTGGCCTCGAACTTGTGGCAATCCTCCTGCCTTAGCTTCCTGAGTGCTGGGATTATAGGTGAGCACCACTACGTCCAGCAAGATTTTCTTTAATTTCTTGTCAAAATGTAGTCCTTCCAAGCACTTCATTTCTTCCACCCACTCCTGTTCAGGGGTGTAAGTTTGATCCAAGTCAAGCTCGGTATAGTGGTACACACTTGTAATCCCAGCACTCGGGAGGCTGAGGCAGGAGGATCACCATTGAGTTCAAGGCCAACCTGAGCTACATAGCAAGGCTGTCTCAAAATAAAATCAGCCAAAACTTTGACTGAATTCTATAATGAACTCTTAGTTTCAGAGAAGCTGTCCAGCAGTTTCTTTCTCTATAATGCTGAATTTATTACAGAATAAAGGAAGCCGGAATGTTGGATTTTCACATCTCCAGCAGAGCTGTGCATCAGAAGTTGTTTATTGTGTTGTGAAGCTGATGACCCCACTGTGTAACCATCTGGAGAATATTCACAACTATTTTCAGGTTAGAAGACTGTCTTGTCCTTATGGAGACTTAGTAGTCCCTAAATGAAATGAAATTTCATTGTTGGCTGAGAAAAATTGAAGAAAAGCAAGAGCAGTTGCTGGAGCAGCTGCTATAAAAATCATTTTCCTTTTTAGTCCTTAGTTCCTGAGGATCGTGGCATGGTTGATGCACCTGGAGAGAATGCTCAGGAATACCAAATAATGTCTTCCTGTTATCTGAGGCTCCTGCAGATTTTTCATTGGCTTTTTGCTTGGTGAGTATATGGGACGTGTTAGTAGAGCAAAATGAGTATCTGCTTGATGATTAGGCACTGGAATATAAAAAGAGAAGGAAAAAGTCCAAAATGACATAACTATGGTGCTTTGTTCTTTTTCACGTGATCTTGTTTTATAGAGCCACTATTGTTAACCCATTTCATAAATTAGGTGACTTGCTGATTAGCTAGCCAATAACAAATATGGGCATTTTGCTCCTTTTCACTTTTCTGTAGAAAACACTCTGTAGTAACTACTTAAATTGGTATTTAAATTGTTTCAGCACAGTACAGTGGCACACAACTCTAATCTTAGCTACTTTAGAGCATGAACCAAAGGATCACAGGTTCAAGGCCATTCTGCTCAATTTAGCAAGACTGCATAAAAAGGGCTGGGGATGTAGCTCAGTAGTAGACCCCCAGTACTTAAAAAAAAAATGTTTCTAGAGCCAGAAGTAGTACAACTCTGTAATTTTAGCACTCAGGAGCCCAAGGAAGGAAGATTACAAGATTGTATGCCACCCTAAGCACCTCAGTGAGTTCTTGGATAGCCTGGACTACTTAGTGTGAGACCCTGTCTCCCGAAAAACAAACAGAAAAAATGGGGTTGTTTTTAAAGATGTTATGAATAAATCCTGGCTTATGTGGTAAAGAGCTAAGTATAGTATGGGCTAGCATGTTTCAGGGTCCCCTGGAAACAGTGGGACTTGACCAGGCCTTTAAAGGGTAGGTAACCTGTAGGGAGGTAAAGAAGAGACTTGGAAGGTACAGAATGGATGAACGTTGAAATAAGGGAGGTATATCCCATAAATACTAGCTCTGTCTACTGTCTTCTTAGGTTTTCTGGATAATCTAACCCAAAGTTAAATTTATGCTAAATTTTATACACTGAGCTAGAAGTATTGAAATGCAGCTGCCTACTCAGCACCCCCTATAGTGTGTTAACACCTCAGACTCCTCACATCCCAGCGGGACCTGTCGTCACTGTCACCTGGCATTGCCTGGGCCTGGTAAAGGGCACCACAAGTTTTCTGAACCACATGTTCCTCCCTCTGCTTTCCACTCTTTCTTTGCCATGTGCAATCCCCAGATCTTGTGGGGTTTTTTCTAGGTAACATCTCATAGCCATCTGTCCTCTCTACACTGCTTCCAGACTTTGACCATCTTTTACCTGAACTAGATTAATTTCATAGTTGGTCTTGTCCTCCAGTTACTATGATCTTCCAAAGACAGATCCAATCTGGTCTTGTCCTAATCTTGGTCTTTGATTGCTTTTAGGTTTTCCTTGAGTTCAGACTCTTAAAATAAGAATCAAAGTATATCATGTACAGGTACAAATTCCCTATGATGAATGTAATCATTATGTATATCTAAAATATACCAGTAAACTTAATTTAAAAGAAAAAAAACACCTCTTGAAGAGCTTCTCTCAGGCCTCCTGTCTGACTCCTGTTCATCTTACTATCTTGCTCTCCCCTTCTCTGCTTCTATCCATATTGAGTTCATTTCAGCACCCTACCTAGTTTCCACCTGAAAAGCTTTCCACAGACTCATCCTTCTACCAGCATCCCTTACTCCTTGAGCTTTAGGCTTTTCTGATTCACCTAATCCTATGAGATCAGGATTTAAACTCACTTATTTTTTTTTTTGGAACTGGGGATCCAACTCAGGACCTTACGCTTGTGAGACTGATATGGTGCCATTGAGCTAAGTCACCGGCCCTAAACTCACTTCTTCATAGATACCTTCTCTGACCCCTAGGCTAGGTAAACCTCTTTCCTGCCTCTCTGATCCCCGGTTTTCTCTTAACACTGATAGTGTCTTACGATGAAACTTGCCATATTTTATTATAATTATTTGTTCATCTGTCTTTTCTGCTGGACTAAGCTCAGTCATTTTTGTATCATTGCCTAAAATACTACCTAACAAGTTTTGAATAGACAGTCATCAAGGAGAACTATAGATGGCAAATAAATACATGAAAGGATGATTATTATGAGATGTTAAGGAAATGCAAATTGGCATGACTAAATGAAAGACTCACTACGCTAGGGGTTAATGAGATGGAACTCCACATGCTGTTGGTGGGATGTAAAATGGTGCAGCCACGTTGGAAAACACCTTGGAAGTTTCTTAAAACCGTCACACTAGAAGTGGAGATTTAGCTCAGTGCTGTGTCCTGCCTTGCAAGCACAAGGTCCTGAGTTTGAACCCTAGTATCAAAAAAATAAATAAATAAAAGACACACCTATGATTCAACTCGGTCATTCCACTCTAGGTATTTATCCAAAATCTTTGGATTTTTTGAGACAGGGTCTCACTATGTACCACAGGCTGGCCTTGAACTCTGGTGATCCTCCTGGCTCAGCTTCCCAAGTGGTGGATTACAGATGTGTGCCATCATACCTGGCTCCACACAAAGTCTTACATATTCATGTTTATAGTATCTTTATTTGTAGTATCTCCAGAATGGGAACAACCCAGATGTCCATCAGCTAGTGAATATATAGACAGACTATGATATATCCTTATGTGGAATACTGCATACAGCAACATGGATAAAGAAAGGATTATGCGAAAGGACTCTTAGTATTTTAACCTATTTATATAAAATTCTAGAAGAATATTACCTTGATGGAAAACAGATCAGTGGTTGCCTAGCATTGAGCAACAGAGTGGAAGAGGGAATGAATTATGAAGGAGAATAAAGGAAACTTTGGGGAGGGTAATGGATATGTTCATTATCTTTCGGTGATGATTTCATGAGTTTTAAGTCAAAATTCAACAAACCCAACACTTTAAATATGTGTACTTTATAAGCTAGGCATGGTGGTGAATGCCTTTGATTCCAGCACTCAGGAGGCTGAGGCAGGAGAAATCGCCTTGAGTTTGAGGCCAGCCTGGGCTACGGAGTGAGTTCAAGGCCAGCCTGAATTACATAGTGAGACCCTGTCTCAAAACATATATATAATATATAGTATATATTATATATATTTTAAAAATTTTAAGACAAACAATATATATGTATTTAAAATTTAAAAAAGAGAAATATATGCAATTTATTGTACATCAGTTATACCTCAGTAAAGCTGTAGGGGCCTGATGTGGTGGTGCACACCTGTGATCCTAGCAGTCAGGAGGCTGAGGTAGGAAGATTGTTGTGAGTTTGAGGCCAGCCTGGGCTACATATTGCGACCCTGTCTCAAACAAAGCAAAATAAGGGAGAGCACGAGAGAAGTAGAATTGTTGAGACTTGATATGTGAAGTAGAGAAAGGAATAAGTTCTTCATCCAACCCCAACTATGGACTGGACTCTGACTTGGCAATTTGACAAAATCAGTCCTATATTATTTGAGAGACTCATCTCTAAGACTTAGGCAATGAGATTTCTTTTTCCTCAAAGATGAACCAATGAGAACTCTTAAATCCTTAAAGACTGTTTTGAATGCACTTTAGCTTCTAGTCTCGCACTCAGGAGCTGTGACTGTATTTTATGCTTATGGACTTGCAGTCCTTTTTGCACTCTTGACTTGTCAATGGCACAGTCTAGGGCCAGGATCCTCAAATGCCATCTGAGCTGTTGCCTGGAAACAACTAAGTGACCTCACTTTGACTTTCTTTTAGGAGTGGCTTTCTTCACATTGTGAATCACAGGTTACTGTACTCAGCCCTCCAGGCCCTCAGTAGACGAATGAAGCAGCTACAGCGTGATGAGGCCTTGGAGGAGCTTATCAGGTGGGTAATAATGCATATCTTCCAGTGTTTCCCAAGAAACTCCCAGAAAGTGGATTGGCAGGCTTGCTTTGAAAATTGAAATTTGGTCTCTAGTTGTGAAGGAAATTGATGTGTTCAGCTATTTTCCCTCAGCATATGAGCTTTCTCATCTATGTATTCTGATAAATTCCTTTTTTTTTTTTTTGTATTCTGTTAAATTCTGAAGTATTGGAAGCCCTGGGCAGAATTATTCTAAATCTTTATGCATAATTGTGATTCCCATCTCCTATTATATCCTTGAATTGAAAGTGGATTGTGTATGACACAGTCATTAAAAGCTATGCTTTCTCTGTCTTATAAGTGGAAAGGAGAGCCAGGTGTTTATGGCACACGCCTGTATTCTAGCACCTGGGAGGCTGAGGCAGGAGGATTGCCAGGAGTTTCAGGCCAGCCTGAGCTACATAATGAGTTCAAGGCCAGTGTGAAGTACATAGTGAGACCCTGTCTCAAAAAAACATAAAAAGAAAACCACAAAGATAAAACGAGGAAAGAGCTAGGTGTGGTGGCACGCTAGAGGATTGTTGTGAGTTTGAGGCCATAGTGAGTTCAAGGCCAGCGTGAAATGCGTAGTGAGACCTTGTCTCAAAAAAAACGGGGGACGGGGGGAAGCACTGGAGAAAGGATGGTTCTAGGGGTCGGGGATTTGGCTCAGTGGTTTCGCTGCCTGCTGCGTAAGCGCAAGGACCCGAGTTCAATCCCCAGTACCAAAAAAACAAAAAGGGATGGTTCTAATTAGGCTGTTGACCAGTAACAGGGAACTCAAACAGCTCATATGGATTTAAACCTGTCTGTGTGTTTGTTTCTTGTCTCCTTACAGCCAGAGCTTCAATTATTTGCAGAACTTCCATCACAGCATCCCCAGTTTCCAGTGTGGTCTTTACCTCCTCAGAATTTTGATGGCCCTTTTGAAGAGATCAGTAGCTCCTACTCAGAAGAGAGAAAAAATTGGTGATGGCCCAGATCTTTCTTTTTTTTTTCTTTTTCTTTTTTTTTTTTGTATGGGGGATCGAACTCGGGACCTTGCACTTGTGAGGCAGGTGCCGGAACCACTGAGCTAAATCCCCAGCCCATTTCTTTTTTTTTCTTCCCATGAATAGGATTAATTTCTCACGCTTGTGAATTTCCTGCTTCCCAGAACTTAGACATTTATGCATGTAAATCCTCATATAACCTTGGGCATGTGTCTTGCTACAGCAAGAATGCCAATTTCCCAGAAGGGCTATGACTAATTTCCACTGACATTGCTAGGCATGACATTGGTTAGATCAGCTGGCTAACTAATTTTCTTCTCTTTCTTTTCTCTCTTTTTTTCTTTTCTTTTTCTTCTTTTGAGGTGATGAGGATTGAATCCAGATCCTTGTGCATGCTAGAGCTATACACTCAGTCATCAATAATTTTCCTTTGGGCTTTAAAAAATTTTTTTTGTTTTTGTGAGACAAGGCCTTGGTTTGTAGTTTTGGCTCTGAACTCACTTTGTAGCCCAAGCTGGTCTCAAACTCACTGCTATCCTCCTACCTCAGCCTCCTGAGTGCTGGGATTACAGGGGTGCACCACTACACCCAGCTTTTTGGCTTATATTTTAATCATATGCTGCTACTTTTTAAAAAAAATTTTCTGAGGCATTTGGCAGAAAAAGACATAAACCATGAGGTTAATAGAGTGGGAGATAAAAATGAGGATCAAGTATAAAGGATGTATTGGCCCCATCCCTGACTTTGGTTTTTTTGAGACAGAATCTCGCTGTGTAGTTTAGGCTAACCTTGAATTCACTATGTTGTCAATCTGTCTAGGCTCACCTCAGACTTATTATGTAGTCTATTTAGGTTGGCTTCAAACTTGTGGTGGTCCTCCTGCCTCAGCCTCCCGAGTGCTAGGTTTTTTGTTTTTTTGTTTTTTTTTAAGTCTTTTGTGTTCTGAGACAGGAGGGTCTCACTATTCCATTTTGGCCTACAACTTATGATCTTCCTGCCTCTGCCTCCCAAGTGCTGAGATTACAGGTCCCTAACCTTTTACTTTTTTTTCATTTGATTTTCCATTGTAATGGGGACTGAACCCAGGACCTTTGCATTGAGCTACATCCTCAGTTCTTTTTTATTTTGAGACAGGATCTTGCTAAGTCACTAAATTATCTAGGGTATGCTTGAATTTGTAGTCCTTCTGCCCCAGCTTCCAGAGTGCTGGGATTATAGACATGCACCACCACTCCTGGCTCTGACTGTTTTCTTTTATCATAAATCTTGAAATCCTGCTTGCTGATTATATGTCCTTCTTGGCAAACACAAACAGAAAGCAAGAAGAATATGTGAAACAAACCGTTTTATTCCCTGCTGATGAGAAGAGAGGGTGTAGTCTGAAACTGGTCTAGCCATTGCTTTTGTTTGCCTGAGAGGAGCAGGCCTGGCTTTCCGCTGCCAGCAGCAGTCTTCTCTGTGTGTCTGTGTGTTGAGGAGCAGGGCAAGGGGTACCATGTGTTGTGTCTTAGATAGGTTTATTTCTGGCAGAAGGGTCATTGGAACAGAAATAAGCAGAATTTTTGAAAGACCTCAGGGACTTCTTAGTTAATAAAAATTCTTTTGATCAGTAATTATCTTCAAAAGCCTAAAAGACATGAGCGAATTTGTCTGATATTGCACATTATGTTTTATGTCGAAATGTCATACTGTACCGTTAATATATGCAATAGTTAATGTCAATTAAAAATATATATATAATTTTTTTTTTTTTTAAAAGAATGAGGTCAGTTTCTCACATGTGAGATGCCTTGGCCTTGTTTTCTGACAGCTTCCTTAGCCAGACAGTTCCTCTGCCGGGAGTGGCCACAGGGTGAGAAAGAAAAGAGCACCCTCTTCAAGGATCAGCTTCAGGATTTGCTCTGGTGAGGTGTTCAGTTTCTTTCAATGAGCCAAATAGCCTTTTCTCAGTTACCACTGTTGGGATCCCTCACTTGGTTAGAGACTGAGAAATTACCTTTTTTAGGGGGAACTTGAAAGCAATGAAGTATGTTTGAAGTGAACATAGTTTGAGTTCTATGAATCTTAAGTACCTCTAGTTCTGCTTTGTACTGTTAGCTAATTCCTTGTTGCTAAATCAAATGAGAAGGAAATGGAAGTGTCTGCAGTTATAACCTGCCTTGTTAATAATTGAGTCAAGGGCCGGGGCTTTAGCTCAGTGGTTCTGGTACCTGCCTCAAAACCGCAAGGACCCGAGTTTGATCCCCAGTACCAGAAAAATAAATAAATAAATAAATAAATTAAATAATTGAGTCAAATAAAACTTAATAGCTGGCAACATCTCAGGAGAGAAATGTGGACATAGGGATTCTGTAGCTGGCATTCATACCCCTCTGACTGTCCTTGCAGCATCTACCTGGAGCACACTGACAGTGTGCTGAAGGCCATAGAGGAGATTGCTGGCGTTGGCGTCCCAGAGTTAATCCACTCTCCAAGACAGGCATCTTCTTGTACATTCCCCACACTGACCAGGTACAGGGCTTCTTGCCTGCAGTCATCTTCCTAAGATAGAGTCACACTGCCCAATGGACGTATTTTTCAAGTTCTGATAGAGATGATGGTACCATCATTCAGAATGGAGTGTCTGCTATGCCTTCCCCCCTCCCTCTCCCCTCCCCTCCCCTCCATGTCCGTTGTGCCCCCTTTATCACCCCTTGGCTTTTGGTGGTACCAGGGATCAAATCCAGCACCTCATGTATGTTAGGCAAGTGCCTTAGTGCTGAACTATACTACTAGCCCCATGATTTTCACTTTTACTTGTGCATATTCCTCAGAAGGAAGAACCTCGCTGGAAAGCAGGTGCGGGGTTCAAGGATAGTGAACTTCTACTATTTGTGCTTTTATCTTTAAACTTGAGACTGGAGCTGAGAGTGTAGTTCAGGGTAGTGCGCATGCTTAGCATTCATGAGGCATGTGTTCAATCCCTAGCATCACAAAACAAACAAAAAAATAGCTGGGCATGGTAGGTAGCCTGCCTGTAGTATCAGCTACTTGAGAGGCTGAGGTAGGAGGATTGCAAGTTCAAGTCCAGCCTGGGTAACTTGGTGAGACCCTTTATCAAAATAAACATAAAAAAAGGGCTGGGGATGTAGTTCAATGTGAAGGCCCTGAGTACAATCTCATGCCACAAAATTTTTTAAAAGAACTAACTTGAGGGCTGGGGATTTATCTCAGTGGTGCTATGCCTGCCTTGCAAGCACAAGGTCCTGAGTTCAATCTCCGGTACCAAAGAAAAAAATTAAACTTGAGACTTTTCCAATCTTTTGACCACTTTGAGAAGGACAGAGTGGCCATTGTATCTAATCATTTGTGTCTAAATGGGTTTGTGTCTCTTAATAGCAGTACTTATCTTGTATGGTTCATAAAGCATCTTCATGTTCTAAATCTTGGTCCTTTTTATAATTCTGTAAGGGTAAGCGTCATTGTCCTACTTTATGACTGAGGAAAATGAGGGTTAGAAAGGGAACTTCTCAAGCTTACATGGGCCATGAAATGACCTCGGATGAGACTGAACCCAGATCTTCTCCCCACTGCTTCACTGCTTTTCACACACTACCTACTGCCCTCCTTTCATTAAAGTTAACTCCTTTGTTTCACAGGCCATCTGGGGCTCATTTCTGACTCCTTTCTACTCTTCTATCCTCTTTCAAGGGACCCTATTGAAAAAATAGAGAGAGAGGTGGGGAAGGAAGTTGCTTTTGCTCTCCTGGCTTCTTCCCAGGAAGTCTCAGTGTGTGCCTATCTCTCCCTTTTTCCGTTGCTTTTTTCTTTTCTTTTTGCAGTACTGGGAACTAAACCCAGGGCCTTCACAGTAAGTTACATCCCTAGCCCTTTCTTATTTTTTTTTTGTACTGGGGATCGAACTCGGGACCTTGAGCTTGCGAGGCAGGCAGCAGAACCACTGAGCTAAATCCCCAGCTAACCCTTTCTTATTTTGAGAAAATGTCTCACCAAGTTGCCAAGGCTGAGCTTGAGTTTGTGATCATCCTGCCTCAGCCTCCCAATTGCTGGAATTACTAGCATGCCCACTGTGCCTGGCCCCTGGAACTTCTTTCTGAGCAGGGCATCATTAGGTGAGTGTGCTTGCTTTCCCCTCTTCTAGGCACACTTTTGTCATTTTTTTCCGTGTGATGATGGCTAAACTGGAGAAGACAGTGAAAGGTCTTCAGGCTGGCACAGCAGCACAGCCACAGCAGGTGGGTCAGACACTCCTGTCACTGAGAAATGGACCCTGGATTGCTTGGAAATTGTTGATTCTTTTATTTCTTAGGTCTAGGATTTCTCTTAAGCTATTGCCTTTGATTTGGCAAGATTCAGATTTTTTTTTCAAAGGCCTTCTCTTAATTTCCTTTCCCTCTAGTTAGAGGTGAAATCAGGCCCAGTTTTCCCTGGCTACTACCTAGTTTGCCATTTACCACCTGGTATAAGGTAAGCTAGCCTGTTGGAGATGTGTAGGCCTTGCACCCTGTGAACCAGAAATAAGACTGCTGAGCAAGGGCAGGCACATGGAATCAGGAGCCACTGCAGAGGCTTTTACTGATGTGGAAATTACTGCGCAGACTCTTTAAAGTACTGTGATGTCACCACAGTGTGGCAGTGTTCAGATCATCTTGTGGGGTGTATTGGGTGCTACATCTCTGGGGGGTAGTTGGCTTCAGTTTCAGAATAGCTGTGCAAATGAAGACCTGTGTAATAGTGGGAGTCCAGTAGAAGGGTTTGGCTGTGATTCAGGGGCACTGGTTTGTTTGGCATCCCCAGATTCATGAAGAGAAGCTCCTCTATTGGAACATGGCTGTTCGAGACTTCAGTATCCTCATCAACCTGATAAAAGTGAGTATGGAGCTCCCTCACCTGTCTCAGCAGTCACTGCAGACACTGCGGGAGCTGGCTTTCACAATTGCCCCTCCTTGCTCCTCTCCTACCTTCCTTGGGGAGCCACTCCAGTCGTCTTCTTCCCTGTCTCTCTCTCTCCTGAGGCACTGTCTTTCCTTTCTTTCCTGCCTCCCACCTGTGCCGCATTACTTAGCCACCTGTTATTCTCGGTCCTCTGCCATCTGAGCACACTCCCTCTACCAACCTCGAGTGCTTTCATTACCCTTCCAGTACTCTGCTGTCTTCCACCCCAGCTTTTGCTCAGGCTGGTGCTTCAGCCTATGACATCATCCTCTTGCCTTTCCACCTCTCTCATGACATCTTTCCTAAGGCTGCATCCTCTGACAAAGCCATCTTCTCATTGTGTCCAGTGGGAATCAATTTCTTTGTCCTCTTTGCTCCTCTCTTCCTTTTCTTTTTCTTTTTTTTTTTTTGGTACCAGGGATCCAACTCGGGTCCTTGCGCTTGTGTAGCAGGCAGCGAAACCACTGAGCTAAATCCCTGGCCTCTTCCTTTTCTTATAGTTCATTTATGAGGGTTACTTTACTCTGTGAATTAAGTGACATGCCTTCTTCAATTTAGAAGTTTCTGTAGCTCCCGAAACTGCTGTGCACAGTAGGAAGGAGGCCGGGGTATTCAGAGGAGCAGGCTTCAGCTTTGGTTTCTTGTCTTTTATGTCTCCAGGTATTCGATAGTCATCCTGTGCTGCATGCATGTTTGAAGGTAAGAGATTTACTAGACCTTGTTTATTGTTTGTTTCGTTGTACTAGGGATTGAACCCAGATTCTTTACCACCAGACATACCTGGTCTTTTTTTTTTTTTTTCCTGAGACAGGGTCTGGTTAAGTTGTCCAGACTGACCTTGAACTTGTGATGCTCCTGCCTCAGCCTCCTTACTGCTGGGCATATGCTCCTGCACCTGGCTGTGATTCTTCATTGCAAAGCCCTAGGGGCAGGTCTGAGGCTATAGCTTACTGGTAGAGCCCTAGCTTATCATGCACAAGGCCCTAGGTTCCATCTGTAGCACTGCAGAGAAAAAAGAAAAAGGCCTTGGGGCGGCCTCATGAGCTGTTGCTGTGATAATTGCCAAACTTCTTTTCCATGAGGAGTTCTCAGAATAATAGCCACTCCTGTTTCAAGTGGATGATATACTCTTCTACCTTGGTTCCCACCCCCCGCCCCCCGCCCCGCCATGGTGTTGGCGCTGGAGATTGAATCTAGGGAGTGTTGAGCTACATCCATAGCCCTTTCTTATTTTAAGACAGGCTCTCATAAAGTTGTCCAGACTGGCCTTTTACTTGTGATCCTCCTGCTTCAGCCTCCCAAGGTGTTGGGAATCACAAGTATGTCCCACCACACCTGGCCTGGTGTCCTATTCTTGTTATTTCCTGACCTTTTCTCCTTCTTCACTCATATCATTTGGTACAGTGTGGGAGATGGGCCAGTTGGGTACAGTGTGGGAGATGGGCCAGTTGGGAAGTATGATTTCTTTCTTTCTTTTTTTTTTTTTTTTGGTACCGGGAATTGAACTCAGGTCCTTGCACTTGCGCAGCAGGTGGCAAAATCACTGAGCTAAATCCCTGGCCCTCGGGAAGTGTGATTTCTGTGATTGGCAAGTGTGGAATTGGCCCCACGCAGCTTTTTCCTCTTGGGAATAAGTTATCCATGGAGCTGGAGCTCCTCCTGCTTATTCTTAAGCTGCACAAGGCTTCTGGCCATTGACTTTATCTGAGGCAGTTAAATCTGCCTGCATTTTCCAAATCAATCTTTTGAACTGTTCCAAATTGTTTGTTTTGTGGTACTGGGGAGTGAGCCCAGGTCCTCACACTTGCTGCTGAGCTACATCCCCGGCCCTTTTTGACATAAGGTTGCACTAAGTTGCCCAGGCTGGTCTTGAACTTGCAGTCCTGCCTTGTCCTCCCTAGCAGCTGAGATTACAGTGTCTATCACCATACTTGGCTCAAATTTTTTGTTTGTTCATTTACTTGTTTCTTTGTTTTTGAGACAGAGTCTCACTGTGTAGTTTAGTCTGGCCTTGAACTCACTGTGTAGCCCAGGTTGGCCTTGAACTCACAGCACTCCTTCTGTCTCAGCCTTCTGAGTGCTAGAATCACAGGTGTGTGCCACCATGCCCAGCTCAAATTTGTTTTTTATGTATAAAAATAAAAACATAAGCCTCTTGAGCTAGTTGATGCTGTGCTGTCGCTGGCCGGGGCTTTTCAAGTGAAGCTTCCAGCTGGAGTCACTGGTGTGTCTTTTTTCTTCAGTATGGACGTCTCTTTGTGGAAGTGTTTCTGAAGCAATGTATGCCACTCCTGGACTTCAGTTTTAGAAAACACCGGGTAAGAGCTGAGAGTATGCTCTGAAGAGTTGCTCAGGACTCGGGGTGGGGCTGAGGGTGGGAACAGCCCCTCTGCCCATGTTCTGAGCCACAGTTCTGTTTGACACCACTTGAGGTATAGCCTGACATGTCTAATAGGACTGACTGTTCCACAGTAGGCTGCATGCCTCAGGTCCACTCTGTTCAAACCCAGCCCTCTACTTGTACTCCTGGTCTAAGGAGTCCCCTTTAGCTTGATTCATTGTGCTGCTGTACTCCCAGGACTTTGCATGTCAGCATATCATGTGCTTGTTCTGGGCTACCCTATGTCTACTCTTAGGAACCAATAATGAAAATAGACCTCATTTGTGTCATAAAACTTGGTTGTTTTACTGAATAGTCTTAGGATTTTTTTTTAAGCCAGGTGACACCTAGGGCTATAGTTGTGAAGTAAGGATAGAAATGAAGATGATTTCTTATACATATTTTGCAAGTTGACTTTGAAAAATACCCATAATATTTGGTCAGTCCCTTATAACCCTGAAAGAGAGAGAAGTGGTATTTTATCCTAATTTGCAGATGGGAAAGCTGAGACATGATAATCTACTTCAAACTATAATGTACGTCTTGCAACTCGCAGATTGACACAGGGATAGAAGCTGGAGGCTGGAGAGTGAGAGCCAGTGCTCCTGTTGAGGGTCAGATTAAGATGATTATGTAGGGCTGGGGACTTAGCTCAGTGGTTTCGCCACCTGCTGCGCAAGTGCAAGGACCCGAGTTCGATTCCTGGTACAAAAAAAAAAAGATGATTATCCACACAGACTGGAACCCACACCTTTGCCTTTTTTGATTGCAAAGATGTTTTGCATCTAAAATGTAATTAAAACATATCATTCTCCACTTATGAATTTTGTTGGTTTTAGGAAGATGTTCTGAGCCTGCTGGAGACCTTCCAGTTGAACACGAGGCTGCTTCATCATCTCTGTGGGCATTCTAAGGTGAGAGGGGCCTACGGCCATACCACCCCAAACTCACCCAGTCTCGTCTAAGGTAAGAGGAAGTAGACCTTAGTTTGCACCTGCTGGGGAGGGGGGGTGTCCACCCCACTTCCAAGCCTTTGTGCAGGGGACTGTGTGCAGGGGCAGTTTATTCAGTGCAGTCAAAGCCTTGGCAAGGTATGGTGACACACCTGAAATTCAAGCTACTCAAGAGGCTGAGGTAGGAGGATTATGAGGTGGAGTGGTAGTGCTTTTCCCTACCAAGTGCAAGGCCCTGAGTTTAGTCCTCATTACCACCAAAGAAAAAAGAAAGAAAAGAGAAGAAAAGCCTAAGTTGCTAGTTGAGACTGAGTAGTTACTAGAATGAGAAATTCTGTATCTGAAATTGGACTCAAATGTCATAGTTCTATTTCCTGGCTTCTTCTTTTTTTTTTGTTTGGTACTAGGGATTGAACTCGGGTCCTTGTGCTTGTGCAGCAGGCGGCAAAACCACTGAGCTAAATCCCCGGCCCTCCTGGCTGCTTCTTGAATGATGAATATACAATGATGCTAAATGTATTACTGCTACAGAGTACTCTAGTTGGGAGAAATAGTAATGTAGCTGGTGACTGCAGAGACAAGAAGTGTTTCTAAAGCAGCTCTCTTAGAGTTTTTCATCTGCACCACTTGTTGTCAAGTAATATATCTGTCTCCTGTGGGAATGGTTCAGTGTTAAAGGGCTTCCACTTGAATGCCCTCTCACTAGTTGGTGAATCAGTCCTTACATCTGAAGGAACACAGAACCCCTAGAGTTCTGTAGCCACCAGCAAACCAAATAATTCTTTCACCAGTTCCTGTTACTCACTTCCTCTCCAGGTTTTAAATTTCAAAAGTGCCAAACAGCCAAGCTAGGTGGTGCACGCCTGTAATTCCAGAGCTTGGGAGGCTTAGGTGAGAGGATCGCTGTGAGTTCAAGGCCAGCCTTGGCTACATAGTGAGTTCAAGATGAGCCTAAACCACACAAAGAGACCCTGTCTCAAAAAAGAAAAGAAAGGAAGAAAATGCCAAACAGTGGCGTTTTTTGTTGTTGTTGTTGTTGTTGTTGTTTTTGGTACTGGGGATTGAACTCGGGACCTTGGGCTTGCGAGGCAGGTGCCAGAACCACTGAGCTAAATCCCTGGCCCCAAACAGTGGAGTTTTAAGGGCTCAGCTAAACAACTTTCTGTTGTTTAATATCAGTATAATATAGGCTCAAGTGTATTTTAGGTAAATGCATTGATGATATGTCAGTAAGAAGTTGAAAAGAAGAACCTAAAAGTGTTGGTGTTATGTCTTCCTTACTTTTAATGTTTTAGCTGCCACTGTGTTTGGAGTACTCTGCCAAACTGCTGCTTTTTGATGGACCTTGTCTCTGGGCCCATTGACAGGGTGGAAGCTCTTACTCAGTGTTGAAGGTGTAAGGAATAGAAAAGGTGAGAGCATGCTGATAAACCCAGATACAGTGGATATATTAATTTCCATGTAGATTCACCAGGACACAAGACTCACCAAACATGTGCCGTTGCTCAAAAAGACACTGGAGCTGCTGGTTTGCAGAGTCAAGGCAATGCTTGTCCTCAACAATTGCAGAGAGGCTTTCTGGCTAGGCAACCTCAAAAACCGGGACTTGCAGGTAAACCTTGAGACTGCCAGTGGCAATCTCCTTCATCCTGAGAGTATCAAAAGACAATTAAGAAACTTAGGTAGCCTAAGCCCTGCTCGCTCATTAAGACTATTTTGATGGACCTTCACAAGCTACATTCCTCATCCCAGGCAGCAGAGGAGCCTAAACCTGCCATTGATGTAAATAAGGGCTGAGGAGGCAACCCTACTGAGGGCAGATTCATAACACTTTAGTATGTGGACACATTTTCTTTTGGTTATTTTGGATTTTTTTCCTACAGCACTCTTATTTCTGAAATTACTTTCTGGTTGATTTTAACACATGAACATTGGTAGGGTCTTTCATTTATCTAATTGACTGAAACCTTGTGTTGCTTTTCTACTGCTTTCCAGTTCCAGAATTTTTCACTTGTCATTCATATTTACAGTGTCTGAGTTTTAGAATTGGTTATATGTGAAAATAACAGAACTCAGAGAAGTAGCTTCCTTTCTTCACATCAACTTTAGGAAGTAGATTCTGTTGTTTCCTTGAAAAAACTGAAGTTCAGAGGACACCCTCCATAAGACCGTTCAGTGTGGAAGAGGAGCCGGGTTTGAGTCCAGCCAGACATTGAGCAGAGCTGGTGTTCTTGAGCCACTCTGCTGACCCAGTTTTCAGCCTCTGCCTCCTTTGTGTAGTTTGTGGGGCTTACTTGCCTCAAGGTTGGGGGTCAATTTTAGATCCATATTCACCTTTAACTGACTCATCAGTATATTCTGGCCTTGTAAAATCTAGTGTGATACTAAAAAACAAAGTTGTACCTTTTGTGGAACTTACTACTGTATCAGAGACAGGGATCTGAGGCCAGAGGTTGAACATCCCTTCTTTGATGCTGGGTCACATGTTGGTGTCCATATTTATATTGCCTATAAACTCATGCTTTGTGCCCTGAGACCCAGAGTGTAAGCATTATGACCCACCTTTGTCTGGTTCTTTGGCGTTTAGGGTGAAGAGATTGTGTCCCAGGATTCCCAGGGGAGCACAGCAGAAGAGAGTGAGGACGGCATGACATCCCATGTTTCCCAGAGCAACGCTACCAAGGTATCTGGCGAGGATACCAGAGTTTGACCCCAAGGGCTGCACTAGGGATGGAACCCAGGGCCTTTGCACTGACCTACATCCCCAGCCCTTTTTGATACTTATTTTGAGACATGGTCTTGCTGAGTCTCTAAGTTGCCCAGATTGGCCTCAAACTTGTGACCCTCCTATTTCAGACTCCCAAGTAGTTGGGATTACTGGCATGTGCCACCATACTCAGCTCCCTGCTTATATTTATCATCAAATACTTCTATTTCTGCCTCCATTCCCTTTAGTTACCATATTGTCTTATTCTTGGTTGGTCGTTTGAGACCAGGTCTCACTATGTAGTTGAGGCCAGCCTTAAACTCATTATATAGCTCAGTCTGGCCTTGAACTTATATCCTTATGCCTCGGCCTCCCAAGTGCTAGGATTACCACGCTTCCAACTATGGCAGAAGCCCACCACACCCAGCTTCCATTCCCATCAGAAAAGCTTCTTGGATTTTATTAATCTTTGAGAGCTCCCCCAAAACAATTATATAATCTTAGAATTGTCTATCTTGAGTTCAAAGCCAGCCTGAACTATGTAGTAAGACTTTGTCTCAAAAACCAAAATGAAAAAAAGGTCACTGTGTTTTCTTTTGCTTGTTGACCCACCCTCACACTGTAGGGTGTACTTCTTTCCTACTTTTACTTGGCCCAAATTCATTCCACAGAGCCTATTTCTCTTCTTTAATAAAACTTTGCTGCAGTTAAAAAAAAAAAAAAAGAATCGAGTATCTGAAGCTGGGGCATGTTATGCCATTGAAGGGGGGATAGGGCTATAAGCTCAGTGGTAGAGGATATGCTTAGCAGGCTTAACCTGGATTCAGGAGGAAGGAGAGGAGGATGAGTTGAGGAAGAGCCTCCGGAGGAGCTGACTTTCGCCAGTGCCCAGGTGGAAGCCAGAGAAGAGTGGCGAGTGCTCGAGACTTCCTGAAGGAGAAGAGGAAGAGACTAGAGGAGCTGTTCGTCAAACCGGAAGAAAAGAAAACTCTTTCCAGACACTATTCTAGAACAGTTAACTATAGCTTCATAGACTGACATAAAGAAATCACCAGGAAAGTTGAAAGAAGTGAATTTACAAAAGAAAAGTGAAGAATGTGAAGAAGGAAATGACTCCCAAGAAAGTTAAAGTACAAAAAGGTCCTTGCTCTAAGGGTGAAGGACCAGGATCTGAGGGATTCAAGGCAGCAAGCAGCTAAAGCCTTCATCTGTGATTCTTTGTGCGGTCTAGGAACCAACAGAACTGCTGTAATTAGTTCCTGTCTCTTGACAACAAGAGGTCAACAGTGAAAAAGGCTGCAGCCCAGTTTTTAAATAATGCTTGGGGAATCCAGAGAAAACAAAATCCCAAGCAGTTTAAAAGGCGATGGATGGTCAGAAGGATGAAAACCTCTGAACAGTAAATTCAAGTACATGGAAAAATAAAAGAATGAGATGATAGCAATGGTAATAAATACTAAGGATAAAAAATACTAAAAGTTAAATCACTGATTATCTCTTATGTATAAAAACTCCCAGACCCTTACTTTCCTATTTTGAGAAATAAAGACAAAGTCACTTGATTTGGAAGGTGACTTGTGCAAAGAAAATTAAATAATTTCAGCTGTTCCTACTGCCCAGAATTGGTGTTCAATTGAAAAATAATTGGTTTTGACTTTTGCTGTACTGAAACTTCATTAAAAATCACTATCAAGTTACTCTTCAGAAGAATTTTAGTGACTTGGACAGCAATAAAATGATGGCGTGGGCAGCTCCAAACTCTTGCCTCCCCATTGAAGCTTTAAAAAACAAATAAGGGCCAGGGATTTAGCTCAGTGGTTCTGGCACCTGCCTCACAAGCGCAAGGTCCCGAGTTCAATCCCTGGTACCAAAAACAAAACAAAACAAAAAACAAATAAAACCTGCCAAAGTCAATTTGTCAGAATCTTGAGAAAATGGACAAAGAATAACAGCAACCAAGTGATTGCAGAATCAAAAAAAAAAGGCATCTTCAGCATACTCCTAGCATCAGTGGAAATATCTGCCAAAATATAGGCTAGGGAACAGAAATACTGGTGACCACACATAACGAAGAAGGCAGTCTGCAAAATATTGCCTGGAAAATCCACTAAACATATTTCTGTATTCACAATCAAGAAAAAAATCCTACAAAAATCTGAGGGAGAGAATGAATTTCCAGTTATAATATTACAGTATTTGAATACTCGGTTTTCATGAAAATAAGTTCAAGGCTTACAAAGAAACCCTAAAGTAGCGCTTTTTAAAGGGGTACAGTAAATTGAAAGAAGCCATTGTGAGGAAGAGCAAATGTTTTGATTTACTACACAAGTACTTTAAACAACATTCTTAGCTAGACTTAAAGAACAAGAGAAATGGGCCGGGGATTTAGCTCAGTAGTTTCGCCGCCTGCTCCTAAGCGCAAGGACCCAAGTTTGATCTCTGGTACCAAAAAAAAAGACAAAAAAATGGGCCAGGGATTTAGCTCAGTGGTTCTGGGGCCTGCCTCGCAAGCGCAAGGTCCTGAGTTTGATCCCTGGTACCGAAAAAAAAAAAAAGAACAAGAGAAATATATGAACAAAGAACTAAAGGAAATCAAGCAATGAAGAATGAAAAATGAGAATATCAGTAAAGAGAAGTTATTAAAAGAGTCAACTAGAAATTCTGGAGACAAAAAGTACAATGGGTGAAATGTAAAATAAGCTAGAAATGTTCAAAACTAAGATTACCAGTCAGGAGAAAGAAAAAGGAGTAAAGAAAGGTGAACAGATCCTAAGAGATACGTAAGACACAATCAGGTAGATCAATGTATGCATTACAGGAGTCTCAGAATAAAACAATGAGAAATATTCTATCTGCTGATAGAATATTTGCAGCAATATTGGTCAAAGCTTCCAAACTTTGATGAAATACATGAATTCACAGATTCAAGAAGCATAACAAACTTCAGGTAGAAAAATACCAGAGACCATCACGAAGACACATTATAATCAGTTGGAAGACACAGAAAAGAAAGTCTTGAAAGCACGAGAAAGAAATGACTCATGGTACACAAGAATCCTCAACAGGATCATTAATTAACATTCAATTTCTCATAAGAAACTATAGAAGCCAAAGAAAGTGGGATGTCGTATTTAAAGTGCTGAACAACACCAACAAAAAAACTGTCAATTGAGAATTCTATACCCAGAAAAACTTAAAGTGAGCGAGAAATTAAGACAGTCTCACAATTTAGAAAAGCTCGAGTTTATTAAGAGTAGATGTTTGGTGCAAGCAAAGACAGTGAGAATACATCAAGTTGAAATGGAAGGACACCCAACAGTCACTGGGAAATCTGTATGATGAATGCAGACCTCCCGTAGAGGTAAACACTGAAGCAAATTTAAAAGCCAGTAATTATGTTATCAGTTTAATAATCCACTTTTCGATTCCTACTTGATTTAAAAAGTAAATGCATAAAAATATTACAGTCCGTGTTATTTGACCCATAATCTTTGTCAACAACATAAAAGGGGGTCTGGGGCTGTATTGGAGCAGAAATTTTATACATTATATCAAACTTAAATACATATCACTTAAACTACATTGTTATAAATTCAGATTGTTAAATGTAATCTTAACTGAAATCATAAAATATCTTAAAAATACGCAGAGGTAACAAGGGATTCAAAATAATTCACAATTAAAAATCAAACACAATAGAAGACTAAATAGAGAAAATGAGGGGCAAAAAAGATACAAGAAAACAAATAGAAAATGCCACAAATAAATTCTTATCAGAAATTAAAAAAAAAAAAAGAACCTGGATTCAATCCCCAGCACCAAAAACAAAGAAAAAGAAAAAAATGAATATTCTCTTCCAGTTTTCCATGAACTCATATCTGCAGTCCTCCAGAAGGGAGAAGAGGTCAGAGTATTCTGGGTGTTCAGAAGATGAATTCAATCATCTAAACATACGAAAATACAAATATGAGAACAGTTGGTCAAAGTCAAAGCCTAGACTCAGAAGCTGCCACAGAAAAATAAGAATAGTAGAGGTCCTTATTCCTTACTGTGGTGAGGAGATGTGTTTGGAGATTTAAAGAAAGCTAAATAAAAATGTGCATGTTTATACGATATCTCTACTATTTGGGTGGTTTGGGATACCCAGAGGTCCACATAAAAAAGTCCCTGGTGTGGAGCCTGTTTCTGATGCAGTTTGATGCTGATGCAGAAGACCGTTTAGTGTGAAAACTTTTATTTGTATGGCTCCTTTTTTTTTTTTTTTTTTTTGCATAATGTACTTCTATCTCATTCTCCTAAGGAATTTTTGGGTTTTGGTTTTTTGGCAGTGTTGAGTATTGAACCCAGGGCCATGCACATGGTAGGCAAGCACTCTACCACTGACTCTATCGGTAGCCCCTTTTGTTTTTTTGAGATGAGGTCTTGCCAAGTTCCCCAGGCACACCTGGAACTTTTGATCCTCCTGGCTTAGCCTCCTGAGTAGCTTGGGTTATAAGCATGCACCACTACTCTCATGAAGAATTTGAGGCAAACCATATTCTTTCAACTTGGTTCTTTCTGCTAAGCAAACCTCCCATGCCTGAGTTGGAAACCAACAATTTATGATGGATTTCTTTTCATATATACCACTACTTTCAATAACTATTTCATTTTATACTGAATGATACTGTGGCTTTCTTACTATGTCACATTTATGCAGAAGAACTGGAGGGCCATGGTTTATTTAAAAATCACACAGATTTGGTTTACTTGTAGTATGGTATGAGTCAGTATCAAGGTGACCTCTGTTCATGGTGTTGGCTTAGAATTAATGATGTCAAGAAGAATTGGGAGAGTCCATTGCAGACCAATCTGCCTCTTGATATGGACTTGCATGGGACATTGCAGTGAGCTCCAGACTTTCAGCTAGATTCTTTAGATCTCCAGTGTGCAGGCAGACCCTCGGCACTCTTCCATATCCGACTTTGTGGATGGCCATTCTGCCCTTCTAACACTGTCTGAAAATTATTATTATTATTATTATTATTTTTAATGTATAACTTTATTATCATTCGCTAAACACACACATATACAAAAATTAAAATTATTCAAAGAAAAACAATGCAAGGGAAAAAAAACTATAATAATAGTCAAATATGATAGAACCCAACCAAAGCAAAACTGAAAAGTACTTAAACATTTTTCCATATAATTTAAAAAAAACATCTCAAGCATTAACAAGACATCAGAAGATGTGATTTGTTTTAGAAAGATTTTCAAAACTAATATTGGAGAAATAGTGGTCCGGAGGAAAATATTCTAATTAGTAGACTCCACATAGGCCAAAATATTTTTTTTTGATTTAAATTTCAATATAGTCATGTGACACGTGATGGAAATATAATCTGAGAAATAAGTTATTAGGCACTTTCATCCATGAGTATTGCAAAGTACCACACAGAGTGCCAACTTCTAAGTGCAAACTGAGAAGGAAAAAGTCAATCATCTGTGATAGCCCCTTGATATTATTCAAATACGCAGTTAAACATGAGATACATAAGGCTACCATTGGCATAGCAGCACACTGTTTTACATTAAACTCTTTTATATAAGTGGGATTATGCTCTAAAGGATGAAAAACACAGCATGTTATGATGAGTACCTAAAACAGTAACAGTCATTTGTCATACTATTGAGTACTGTGTACGGTACATAGTTGTATGTGCTTCTTCTGGAAACACACCCTTCTCTCCTTTGATCTCAGTGACTCTTCCTTCCCAACCCACTGATGAGCTCCAGCCTAGTCTATCTACATCTCTTTCTATAGTTTTAAACACAATCCATATATGGATTCTTTCCAGATTCCAGCCGGTAACCTGGTCTCTCCCCTTCCCCTCCTGCCGCCCCTACCCCTTTGAACCTTTTCTTCGTATTTCAAATTATCCATTATTTGTTTTAATCATTTTAATCCTTAATTACACTTTCAGTTTCTCACAGAGAAACTATTCAGTATTTACACGTGTGTGTTCTATTTCACTTAAGAGGATGGCCTCAATATGCATCCATTTAGCTATTAATGTCTCTAGTTTTTCATTCTTTATGGCTGAGTAGTACTCCATTTTATAAAAATACACATCTTTATCCAGTCTCCAGTTGATTGGCACTTGGGTTGTTTCCAAGCTTTAGCTATAAACCATCTGAAAATTATCAACAGCACTCCCCAGACCTTCAGCATCAGACTTCCAGGAAGATGTTATAGTGATGAACAGCAGAGAAACAGACTTTCTGAGATTTGGTGTCCATACACTGGAGTATAGCAACGTGAGGAAGAGAAGAAGAAAGGAAGTGGGTCCCCAGGACCCAGCAAGGATCTGAAGCAAGAATTGAAGCCCATGGGGGACCGAAGAGGGAGATCTCAGTGCAGAAGAAGGAGATGGCAAGCGGCGCTTTCTCCCTGAACATGCAGATGCATGAGAACTACTGATGATCACAGAGGGCTCCATGGAGAAATGCACCAGTGGAACATAACAGTGGACACAGCAGACAGCAGTGGCTGGTCAGTTATTTGTGTTCAGACATCCCTCAGGAGAAAGTGATTGGCCAGTAGCCATCTTGGAGAGAGACCAACTGAGCTTGGAACTCAGCAGCTCCATCTAGCGGTTCTCAGTGTCAGGGTGAGGTGGAACTGAGTTCACGTCAGCAGGAGGTCAAGGAGCAGAGTTCAAGCTGGCAGGAGGCCCATTTCAGGATGAACAAATGGGGTTCCAGCCTCACAGCCTGAAATCAGCCTGAACTTCATTGGATCTAAAGGTGCAGGCTTGCTGGGATTATCCTCTACCCCACTGTAAATCTAAAGCTGGCTTGCTGGGATTAATCAACATAGATCTGGGCTCTGTCTGGCCACTCTTAACAGGGCAGTAACATGCCCTGAAGTGGACATTTCTTTTTGTTTTTGTTTTGTTTTCTTTTTTGTTGTTTATTCTTGTTTTTATTTTAATTTTTTTTTTCAGTACCAGGGATCAAACTCTGGACCTTGCGCTTCCAAGGCAGGCATGGCACCACTGAGCTAAATCCCTGGCCCACTGTTCTTGTTTTTATATGAGTGGGAGCATTGTTTCAGTTAAGGCCAGCATGGGTTACATAGTGAGATCCTGTCTCCAAAAACAAATGAAACATAGATCCTTGGTTTTAATAATAAAATTGCTTCTACGTTTGTGGGAGCTAAATTACTGTCCATGGGGGACCCTAGAGAAGTGGCCTAACTAATTTGTCTGTCTTTTGCCCCTTAGGATGATGAAGAAGATGAAGCAAGTGACACAGAACAGGATCAACAAAGTGATGAAAGTGATGACAGCTTAGATTAGATCCCAGAGAAGCTGTCATGCCCTGTGCATATTCACCACCCTCCACCTCATTTATGTTCAGGATTTGATAAGTGCTGTTTCCCTTTCTGCTAGAGGCAGCCTGTTTATGCTTTAAGAGGGATTATTAATTAACTTCTGGATTTCACAGATTTGTGTAACACTACCAGAATCCCTGGCTCGGGATTCCAGGGTAGCAGTATTTGTTGTTTGGCTGAACATAGCAGTGCTATGCTGAGTAAGCTCTTCTGTTATGATTTTGCACTTTGCAAGTTAGTTTTGGAACTTATTTTTTTTTTTTGGTACCGGGGATCAAACTCATGCATGACCTGCACTTGCAAGGCAGGTGGCGGAACCACTGAGCTAAATCCCCAGCCCTGGAACTTATTTTTTCTAAAATTTAGGCTTATACCAGTTTTACAAATAAAGTTTTTTTCTGTGCTTTGCCTCAGCTACCTTATTCCAGTTTTAAGATTTCCCTCATTATTTGAGGTTTCAGTGGAATTGAACTGAAGTTTATGCAAAGAAACAATGGGGATTGGTGCCAGGATAGCTCTACTGCTCAAAATCATGATCTCTATTATAAGGACCCATCTTACTTTTCTTGTTGCTAAGACAAAATACTTAACACTCAAAAGGAGGAAGGATTTATCTGACTCACGGTAGCGGTTTCAGTCCATAGCCTGCTGGCTCCAAGGCAGGGTGGCATGGCAGGCAGAAGGTGTTGAGGAGCAGCAGCAGCAGCAGCCTGCCTTCCCTCTCTCCCTTTGTGTTCCATCCAGGCTACAAGCCTATTGTTTGGTGCCATCCACACCCAGAATGGGGCTTTCGGTATCCACCCCTTAATCCACATTCACACCCTAATCCAGCTACCTTGGAAACTCCCTGTTTATGAGTGCATGATGCTTTGGGGGACCTCTAGAGACAAGCTGTCAGAGGACCATTTTCACTTATGATGAGAACATCTTTGTGATGTTTTTTGGAGGAATGACTTGAACTTTTTTTAGTGCCCAAAGAGGAATATTTTGCCTTTTAAATTTTTTGGTCATTAATATATGACAAATGAAGAAAAGAGATCATCCAGCCTATATGTTTATTTCCACACTTCTGAGTTGTGCTTATAATCTTCTCACAAGAGTGCTACAAAATTAATCATTCATTTCAGCATTATGAGTATACTGCAGCTAAAATAGACTGTTCTCCTGTCTTCTGCCAGGCCATTTTTAGTTGCTGCTACCAAGTTTTTTCTTGCCAGGGTGTAATGTTTCAGTATTTGTTAATATAAGGCCTCATATTCTTGGTGGTGCACACCTGCATTCCCAGAACTTGGGAGGCTGAGGCAGGAGGATTGCCATGAGTTTGAGGCCAGCCTGAACCACAAAGTGACGCCTTGTCTAAAAAAAAAAAAAGAGACCAAAGAAATATACATCTCTTTTTTTGACAACCTCTTTGATTCCCAATTCAATGTCTTTGGTGTCTAAATAAGTTCATACTAGACTCATTGATTTATATGGTTTAATGGTTTTCATCACATGTACAAGTCAGTACTAGTTTGACTCTGTCAGTAGTTGTTCAGCTGTGCAGTGGAAGTGTTCTCCCTCACTCTTATCACAGCCCTCTTCTTGGAGAGAATAGGAAGGAGGCTCCTCTGTTGTCACTCCTGGACAGAAAAGTAAAATAGCGAGGGCAGCGTCACCTTGGTTTATGTGGACAGGTTCATGTTATGTCTCAGAGCAGGGGTGAGGAGTTGGGGTGCAGTAGGACTCTACCTGGAGTGCTGCAAGGCAAAGGTGCACTTCTTGTAGGTTGCATACAGCAAGAGCATGGAGCGCAGCATCTGTTTGCACATCGTCACTGTCATCTGAATCTGAGGCTCCTTGAGTCCAGTGGGCCACTGATGTTCCCTGCTAATGATTTTGCAGAAGGCTGACTTCTCAGAAACCCTGAAGGTCCCAGTCCACTTCGGTGGCTGAGCTGTGATGACCCTGCTGAAGACAGAATCCACTCCACTGAGGCGAATGGGCTGAGGCTTTCTGACCAGTCCTTTCTTGTGGAGCATGGTTTGGAGCCCCAATGTGTGACAGGGTAGCTTGGGACTCACTCCAGTTTCCAGGAGTGGGCTCTCGAGGACTAGGGTGACCTCTTGAAAACACAGCTGAACTTCCAGGTCAGAGGGGGTGTGTGGGAAGCACGGGGAGGCCCTGAAGGGGTGCTTAGAGGAAGGGGTGGGTGTTGTGTGCCGCAGCCATTGGAAGCTCTCATCCAGTGGAGTCCACGGTGACCAGAGCTGGTATCCCGCCATTGAGAGTCCTAAAGAGAGGAATCAGACATGGCGTTTCCCTGGCATGCTTTTGTTGAGGACCTACATGTCTGTGCACATTTACAGCTCTGTCTCAGTATTGACTTAAATTTTGCTGTTCCCATGAGTAGATTCCAGTAGGTGATAGGGTATTAGTAATTTGATAAAGAACAATAGGGGATGGTAACATATTGAATGTGGCAATTGCAGTGTGTGCAAAAAGTTTTTTAAACCTTTCCACAGGCCTCTCAAGGGAGGTTTTAACCTATTACAAAGATGAGTAGGAGTATCCCAGTATTGTGCATGTGCTGGGTTGATGACTGCTAATGACAGTCCATGCTTGTGAGGTGGTGGAGGTTGCTGGGACTTCTTAATGAGACATTATTTGAGATGAGAAGCTCCGAAATGCACCTCTTCCAAATATGTGACTCTAGCGCCATGCGCCTTACATCACTAGTTCTCAAAGTATGATCCCTAGGCTAGCAGCTTCAGTGCCACTCGGGAACTTGGTAGAAATGCAGATTCTTGGACCTTACACCTACAAATAAGAAATTCTGAGGGCCCAGAATCTGCATAAACCAACCTTCCAGGGGATTTGCTGCATCCTACAGCTTGAGAACTACTGTTTCTTCTAAGTACCTTGCATTCCTTTTCTTCATTGTGGAGGCAATCTCCTTGGTCCTAAAAGCCCCTGTGCCTGCTTTTGTGTTTTGTTTTGTCTTACAAGAGAGTAGTACTAGCTGAGCCCTGAAGGACTTAGGTACACCTCAGAGGAGTTGCCACCAGGTGGGGAGGGGAGGCTTTTCCACAGGCCAGTATTTAGAACTGCTGGCATAGGAGTGCAGCTCAGAGACAACGCTTGTGTAGCATTCCCAAGGCCCTAGGTTTGATCCCCACCATCACACACAACTTTTGTTTTTATCCTAGGTGTGGGTCTTTGTCTGTCTTTCTATCGTCTTTCTTTCTTTCAGTACTGGAGATTGAACTCGGGACCTTGAGTTTGCAAGGCAGGCGCCGGAACCACTGAGCTAAATCGAGAGCCTTTCCTTTTCTTCCTCTTTCCTTCCTCTCCCCCCCCGCCCCGCCCCTCTGGCTGCCTAGCCAGCCATATCAGCTGAATCAACCCTGGTGATCAATGGGGTGACAGATATCACAGTCAGATCTCCCTAATATCCCTTTTTTTGTTGTTTTTTGAGATAGGGTCTCACTATGTAGTTCAGGCTGGCCTTGAACTTGCTATGTATTGCAGGCTGGCCTTGAACCTGGAGGCATCTTCCTGCCTCAGTCACCCAGGTACTGGGATTACAGGTGTATGCCACCGCACCCGGCCTGCCTATTTGTTAAAGCAGTTCCCTTTATTTCCTGGCCAAGTCTATTTCTCTGTCCTTCTCACTGCTATAAACTACTGTGTACCATGGATCTGATCTCATCCAGCATCACTTCTCGGCCTTTTGCCTAAGATCAAATGATCTCATCCACTAACTGCCATCATAGTTTGTTAGTTTTTGTTTAATCTTTCTGGTGTGTGGTATTGGGGCCTCATGCATGCTAGGCAAGCTATCACTGAGATACACCCCCAGCTCTTAAAATTTTGAGACAGGTTCTCATTAAATTGCTCCAGCCAAACTGGGTGTGGTGGTGCATACTTGTAATCTCAGCTACTCAGGTGGGAGGCTGAGGCAGGAGGATCAGTTTGAGCCCAGCCTGGGCAACTTTGTGATACCCTGAGTTCAATCCTCGGTACTGTCAAATAAGTAAGTCTAGCCTATTTAGTTTCTTGAACCAACATAGAATGAGTGGCTTTTGACCCAGATCTTCCCATCCCTTCATGCCGGGGTTAGTGGTACTGTGCCATCCCCAGCACCTCATCCATTCCAGGAGGTTGAACTCTGGCACTCTGTTCCTGGAGCGCTAATAGCTTCCAGACAGGGGACACCTGGTTCTGACTAAAAAGACTTCCCCGTCAGACTTCCTCCCGTCCCTTGATTTCCCACCTGGGAGAGGGGACAGCAGCGCCAGAATCCAGCTAAGGTCCTTGTGAACCGTAAGCAGACCCGAGGGGCTGGCGCACATGGACAGCGGCCTGGTCCAGGTCTCTCGCTCTGGCCTAGCGGAGGAGCTGGCGGGAGCCCGGGCCGGGCCCAGCATCCAGGTGGGGCTCACCTGGTGAACTCCCCGCAATCCAGAGCTGCTTCCGCAACTTTTCTATCTGGGTGCCTGGCAACCGCCTTTGCGACCTGGCCACACGGGGGCGAGAGCGAGGCCCCACTGGGGCGATGGGACTGTGGCCTCCCCCCACCCGTCCTGAAGACCCCCAGGATGAAGCTTCAAGATGGCTGCTTTGGATCCCACCACTCAGTTCTCTCCCCATCCACCATACCTTTGTGCCGTGATCGTATCGCAAGGACAGACACACCCCCACCCCCACCCCTGGGTTCCAGTACTGGAACTAGTATTAAAATTAGCCTTCAGTCTAAACCTTGCTTGTACTTGGGCTGAGGGACCCAGAGACCTGAAGGCGTTTATTGCTATATTCCATGGTTCTAGGGAAGGAAGCAGTTATTAATGCTTGCCGGTCAAGAGAACAAGATAGATACACACGTCCTTCACTTTCTGACTGAGCACCTTTCCAGCTTCCATTCACCTGTCAAGACAATAGGAAAGATATGCATATCTTTCTTTCACTTCTTCACTGAAAGCCTTTCTGCCTTCTAGTAAATCTCATAAAGAACAATTCTATCCCATTTTACAGTGCTGAAAAACATTCACCATAGTGAGAACGTGATGTAGCAGCTTTTTAAGCTCACTTCAGTTGTTCTGAAAAGCTGAGGGCGGAGGACAAATCTACCCAGATACCTGCTCTGTCCACAGGTCCTGGCTGTGGGGAGGCCTGTCAGAGAGCAGTGTGGATGACAGAAACTAGAGTGGTCCATCCGCTCTTTCCTTACACCCAGAATTGGCCTTCATTTTGAAAACTGTGACACAGCACTAATGAGAGAGATCATCTTCTGTCTGGCTCTTTGGGTGAAAATGACAGCCCTCATGTCTGAGAATGAGGTTGGGTGGAGATCTTGGATTGGAAGACAGAGGCTTGAGGACCTGTCCGGGGCACCCTGTGTGTCCTACAGAAGTGAACTGGGACGAGTTTGGAAAGGAGTTAGAAAATAGAGCAAGCAAAAGATCAAGAGGCTTGAAGAGGTGCAAATGCTTTTGTGGTTTTTGTTTGTTTTGTTTTTTGAGACAGAGTCTTGCTATGTAATCCAGGCTGGCCTTGAACTCACTGTGTAGTCCAGGTTGGCCTCCAACTCACAGTGATGCTCCTGCCCCAGCCTCCCGAGTGCTGGGATTACAGGCATACATCACCACGCCTGGCTGAGGTGTTGTGTCCAGATTGTGAAGTCCCAGAGACCACCAGGAGACCGTTTCCGATGTAAGCACACAAGGGTCGTTTATTCAAGCTTAAGCAGGGACTCTCAATTGTCACCGACGCAGCGGATCGAGATTGAGAGCCCCGAGCCTCAAAACTAGCAGGGTTTTTATTGAGTATACAACAAGCTTTGGTTGTTAGTAGCCAGGTGATTGGTTAATACTAAATACATATGAAGTGTAGGGTTTTGATTGGTTAGGCTTAGGGGGGGTTAAGGGGGTTACGTATAGATTTTTGTGAGGGAGAAAAGGGGCAAAGATTAACGGCCGGTTGTTACATACTGATCGTTAGCAGACCCACTAATGGCCGCATCTATCTTGTGTGGACAGTCAGCTCATTAACTGCTTATCCTACAGATAGTGTGCCTGGAACGCTCTCTCCCCGGGTACACAGGTGGTTGGGTAATAAACTCAGGAATTTCAAGTGGTGAATTTCTAGTTTAAGCACAAATTTGAGAGAACAAAGGAGACGGCTCCAAAATGGAGTCATTTTGGTCCCACAGAGGTACAGATGATTTTTGAATACAAGACTTTTCCCCCAGTGTAGTTTTAAAGAAACTCCTGTTGAAAAGCAAATACAACAGTAGTTTGTATTGGACAATAGTGTTTTGTTTTTTAAGTGAAAGTCCCCAAAGCAAAATTGTACGATTAAAATTGGATCAAAGTGGTTGTACTGTTGTGACAATCTGTATACTGTCCTTTGCACAGTCTGTGCAACTCTGAGGTACATGGTCCCAGAAAGACCATTCCCATCATGTCCAAGCCTTTTGTCCAGCACTGTGTGGAAACCACATCTTGTATTAGTTGGCTTTTCATGCTTATAGTGAATACCTGGAGCAGGATACTTAAGAAGAAAAGAGGTTTATTCACTTTGAAGCTTTGGAGGCTGTCAGTCCAAATGGCATGGCACAGGCCCTACAAGGGCCTGCAGCACCCGCAGGAGCACAGTGGGAAGAAGAATCACTCAGAATCCTCAGTGTGGCCAGCCCAGCTTTTTTAGCACACTCACTGGGGCCAGGGATTTGGCTCAGTGGTTTTGCTGCCTGCTGCGCAAGCACAAGGACTTGAGTTCGATCCCTGGTACCAAAAAAAAAAAATAGCACACTCACGAACTTACTCCCTGAGGCCTGGTTCTCATCCCATGGCAGAGCCCCAGTGATTTAATGCATGATTGCAATTAAAAATTTGTATTTTGTTTTTCTTTTCAGTTCATCATATCTTTTTGTTATCAGACTGGCAGGGGGATCCTTGGTCCCTGTGTTCTAGAGGCAAAAATTCAGTCAAGATACAGAAGAGCACTGTGAAAGTAGAAGCAGGATTTATTGCAAAATGAAACAATGCAAGATGAAAGCATACTCCTTATGTTGCAGTTGCAACGAATACAAGTTTAAGGTTTATATGATTTTTGTTAGGTTTTTCTGTCTTTTTGGGCCCATCCAGTCCTCTTTTGCCAGCTCTCAAATGTCAGTGAGATAAAAGCCCCTGATGGAAGTTATTTGTGCCAGGTCAGGTGAACCCTTCTCAGGTCTGTGGCCAGGGCTGCCAGTTGGGTACTGTGGAGCATGTTGTGTTCCTTAGGTTAGGTCTGTCTCCTGCAGATCCATCCTGCAAGGTTAATCTTCTGGAGCTTATTTTGTTAGGAATTTTATGTAAGTTCCCTCCACTGCCTCTAAGCCTGCTAGTGTTTTTCTACCTGACATTGTCATGTGACCAAAGTGTTCATAGTTAAATGCATAATATTTATACTATTGCCTTAGGTGGCTATATCATTGTTTAGCCATTCCTCAACTATTATAATGATAGTACAAAGAACACTGTTGTGGTAAAAGTTGAGTGTGCCTTTTACTCCTCAATGATTTTAATGAAATGATTAGGTCTAAAGGTTTGAAATTTTTTGTAGTTCTTGGTACCAAGTTACACATATCCTTCCTTTTTTTTTTTTTTTTTGTTATCGGGGATTGAACTTGGACCTCACACTTGTGAGACAGGAGGCCTCACTGAGCTAATTCCTCAACCCCTTTTCTTCTGGAAGGATTGTACTAATTTATGTTGTGACCAACGCTTTACGACCCTGCCAATTTCCTCTCAGCTTCTCCATCACTGGGTATTATCGTTAAAATATTAAATTTTAGCTGAGCGTGGTGGCACGCACTTGTAATCCCAGGCTGAGGGAGGAGGATGGTAAATTTGAGCCCAGCCTGGGCAATTTAGCGTGACCGTTTTTAAAAAAGAAAGAAAGATGTTTTGTTCACTTGGTAAATGTGAGATAGGACATCATACCTCGTCGGTAAAAGGCATTATTAAATGACTTGTATTTAATGGGGTTTAACTGTGCCCGTATTGCTGACAGACTGTGCAAACTGAGCTTGGAGCAGATGAAGACTAGAAGAGCACGGACGCCCCCTACCGACCGCAGCGGCCGGTGACGGGTGTGGGTGTGCAGCTTGCTGCGGGAGTCATCTGTTTTCCTGGGTGTGGGAACCGAGCAAAACGCAGGCAAGGACATGACATCGCGCAGGCGCATTACAGTCCCGGGGGGCCTGCGCGGGCGACGCGGGGGGGGGGGGCCGGTGTGGGCTGGACGCAGGCGCACTGGTGACCTGAACGGTGGGCGCGCCTGCGCAGTCACTCCTCTTCAGGCGGCGGCCATGGCTGGGCAAGAGGATCCAGTGCAGCGGGAGATTCACCAGGACTGGGCGAACCGGGAATACATTGAGCTCATCACCAGCAGCATCAAGAAAATCGCAGACTTTCTCAACTCGTTCGGTCAGCGGGCGAGCAGGGAGGCGGGGACGCGAAGGCCCCGGGGGCGACCGGTGGGAGAAGCCGGGGGGACTCCGGGAGCTCGGCGCCCTCTGGGTTTTGCTTCTACTTCGGCCCCACCTTCCCGCTGCCCGATGCTCTGGCCCGCGAGGCCGGCGAGGCTTTGGCTTCGGCTTCGTCGCCGTCCCCACCCCGGGCCCGCGGGCAGGCAGTTTTCCCACGTACCTCGGGCGGCCCTGTCCACCCGTTGCGTGCTGCTTCCCTTGGGTGGTCTTCCTGCCTCCTTTATGCCGCCTCATTCCAGTCACCTCTCCCGCAGGGTGCCCCCGTGGCTGTGTCGCTTCCCTGACAGTTCCTCATCTCTTTCAGGACGAGATCGGAACCTTTTAACGCCATTCCCTTTCGTCGCTCCCTCGGTCGCTTCTCTGTCCATTCCTTTTCCCCGGTGTGTGGCAGGAGCTGAGGTCAGAGATTAGGTCCAGGTCTTGTAGGGCCTTAGAGAAACTGCTTGCATCTGATTTGTGTTAGGTGTCTGTCTACTGCTAGCCCGGTCCTCAGAGCTATCACAGGATAGGTGCTTTCAGCAGAGAAACAGCTTTACCAAAATCTTTTCTAGGTGTAGTAGCCTCGCGACAGTCTTAAATTCTTTCTGCACTGTTCAGATCTGCTTGGACCGCAAGCCTGTAACAGACTTCTACCCACCCCATGTTCCCCAAGTGTTTCATTCAGAGAACTTGGTGCTGGATGAACTTGGCAAGATGTAGGGATGACACCTAGTGATTTTGTTCCACTAATCCAGCAACAGTAAACAGTTGAAATTAAATAGAAGAAACTGATGTATTAAAAAAATTTTTTTTTAAGGAACTACTTTGTAGCTAGAGGAACTGATAGTCCTAAGTAGTATAAAGTGATAGAGCAAGAGTTTTGGCAGTGGGCTGGAGATGTAGCTCAAAGTAGGGCCTGAGTTGGATCCGCTACACAGCCCCCAAAAAGTTTGTCAAAAAGAAAACAAAAAAGTTGTCAGAAAGCATCAGCAGGAGAAACTACAACTCAGTACAGATCTCTGTTGAGGCACTGTGCGGGACATAAGAACCCTTCCTGCATTCAAACAAGTTCTTTCTTGAAATAATGACAGATTCAGGACAAAACAGAGCATGGTTTTTAATATATTTACATGTAAGTGTATAGGACTATAATCTTGATGTGTTGTGCTATGTAGACTCATCTGAGAATGAAAAGAGAACAGTATAAATTACATCAGTGATACATATCCACACACATAGATAGCTGTAAAGGTTGTAGTAGGGAATGATGGTGATATAGAGCTCATGTATCTTGAAAATATTTTTTCTTTCGAATAATAGAAATAAAGGAGCGTGGTTTAGTGGAAAAGAGTTTGGAATTAGGAGAAGCTAGATTGATTTTAAGTAACTGATCTAGTTTCCTTGGAGAGGTTTTTTGTTTGTTTGAGACAGAGTCCTCCTATGTTGTCCAAGCTGGCCTTCAGTTCTTGGGTTGAAGCAGTCCTCTTGCTTCAGCCTCCCAAATGTTGGGACTACAGGGGGATGTGTTACCACGCCCAGTAACATTTGTTACTCATAACATTCTCTCAGAGGATAATAGATTTGATGTTTGCTTAGTCTGGAGAGGCAGTGGGAAGTACAGTACTTAGAAAACAGTTGGATAAATCACTCTCATAGAGTAATTTTGTTTTAACAAAGTTCCTTGCTGTGTAGCCTAGGCCAGCTTTGAACTTTGTAGCCCAGCCTGCCCTCAAACTGGAAATCCTCCTGCCTCAGCCTTCTCAGTGCTGGATTGAAGTCATGGGCCACCATATCCAGTTTTAATTTTGTTTTGAAAGCAAAACTAAGACATTTTATTTTCTGGTAGGTATTAATATCTGACGTACTACAGAATTTCCATCCAAAGTGTTGTTAGTTCAATAGGTAAAATATTGAAAATTAAACTGGGGTTGCTTAGGGCCAGGGATTTAGCTCAGTGGTGCCGCTGACAGCCTTGCAAGTGCAAGGTTCCGAGTTAGATCCCTGATACCAAAAAAAACCAAATCCAAAAACCACTAAAAACTGGGGTTGTTTTTCAAATTTAAAAGTGATCTAGCATCTCAGTTTTCCAAGTTGGGATCTTAGTAATATAATAACTTTATTTCCAAGCACTGAATTATATCAGTGAACATTTTTTTTTTTTTTTGTCATGGTACCAGGGATTGAACCTGGGGCCTTGGAGTTGAGCTACATCCCCAACCCTTTTTAATTTTCTATTTTGAGACAGGGTCTTGCTGAGTCCTAAGTTGCTCAGGCTGGGCTTGCACTTGTGATTCTCTAGCCTTCAGCCTCCCAGAGTGTTGGGATTACAGCAATGGGCCACCATGCTGATTTTTTTAAAAAATTCTTTTATTGGTACATTTAGGCATACAATACGTTTACATTTATCATTGGGTGCTTGTACCTGTACATGACGTATCTTGGTTCATATTTTTTTCCCCATTACCTGTGAGCCCTTTTTTTTTTTGGTACTGGGGATTGAACTCAGGCCTTTGAGCTTGTGAGGCAGGCTTGGAACCACTGAGCTAAATCCCCAGCCCTATGTGATGTATCTTGGTTCTTATTTTTTCCCCATTCCCTGTGCTCCCTTCACCCCCTCCACCCTTCCCTATTTACATAGATTTCGTTTCCATTTTTTTTTCTTTTCTCATAATTTTTCCTTTCCCTTCTTTCCTTTCCCCTTCCCCTACCACCACCCCTACACCTTTGGACCTTTTAATATTTCAAATTATCAATTATCCGTTTTAATCATTTTAATCCTTATCACATTAGAGAAACTATTCAGTATTTACACATGTGTCCTATTTCACTTAAGAGTATGGCCTCAATATGCATCCATCTAGCTATAAATGTCTCTAGTTTCTCATTCTTTATGGCTGAGTAGTACTTCATGCCCTTCCCATTTATAGAAGCTCCATTTCCATTTTTCTTTTCAGAAGAATAAACTTGAGGGATTTGTAGGTAAATGGATGCACTTCAAGACCATACTGTTAAGTGAAACAAATCAGATACAAAGTTTAAATAACACATGGTTTCTCTTATATGAGAAACCCAAAATATAAATAAAGAACAAATTAAAAGGTCGATAATAGGAAGTAAGAGATCTTTTCCAAATGGGGAGGGGAACAAGAGATGAAGTGAGTCTTGCTGGAGAGTGTTTAGACAGGCAGGATGGCCTAAAGTTGAGGCGAGATGGCAGTGTAGGAAGAGGTGTCAAAATGAAAGGTGTTGTGAAGTGTTGAGTCACTGTGTAGGAGACTGTCCTGGAGACTGGGTATTTTAGACATGAAGGTGAAGGCTGTAGAGAGATGACTGAACACGTTTTGGGAGAGATACTGGGAAATAATTATGCTTACATGCCTTTTTGTCTTGTATGTTGGGAATAGTTGGGAAATGTGGCTGAGTAGTTTCAGTCAGAGATGTGTGTACAGGAAGATACTCTGAGGTTGCATTTTGGGAGAGGTGGTGAAGGGGACCGAAGATGTAGAGGAAGAAGAGCAGTGTGGGTTCCATGGGACACTGGGAGTCTTTGTTTCTTCCTTCCGGTTCTGACAGGCCTGTGCAGACAGTGATGAGATTCTCTCCTCCTCAGCACCAGTAACTTGTGGCTCCCAGGAGTTAGAAGCCTCTGACACCTTCCTCTTTCCCTCAATTTCTGCTGCTTCTTTGGCCTTCCCTTTTCTCCTTTGACACTGCAGACAGTCTCTGGTTATGCTGGGATATCCTAAGATGTGCTGGCTTTGTGCTGTGGAAAAGCAGTCTGCATTCAGTAAACATCATGCTTCACTTTTTCTTCTTTTTCTTAAGGCTGGGATTCAACCCAGCACCTTGTATGTGCTAGGCAAGTGCTCTGCCACTGAGCTGTGCCCAGACTGAAGCCATCTTTCAGGTTTTGCGTCTTGTCTCTTCTCGGGCCAGCAGTGTGTGGCACGGTACTTTGGTGCTGCCAGGCCATGGCAGGGATGTATGGCTCCAGTCAGCACGCGATCATGGTGGTAAACAACTAATGCTCTTCAAGCTACTGAGTGGCTGAGCCATGATGTTGGATAAGTTAGGGAGATTCAGTGCATTTTCACTAAAATAGTTTCAGCAATTTGTATTTGTTTATTTTGAGATAGAGACTCACTATGTAGTTCAGGCTGGCCTTGAACTTCACATCCCCCTGCCTCAGCTTCCTGCATACAAGCATTACAGGCACGTGCCACCATACATGGCACTTTTTTTTGTTTTTTGACAAGATCTTTCTAAGTTATCTAGGCTGAGCTTGAACTTGTAATACTCCTGCATGCAACACCATGTCCCCTGTCTTGAAACTCTTAGTTTGCTGGTTAACAAATGGCCATCTGTGGCTGGGCGTGGTGGCGCAAGCCTGTAATCAATCCCAGCACGCAAGAGGCTGAGGCAGGAGGATCACCACAAGTTCAAGGCCAGTCTCACCTACATACTGAGTTCAAGCCCAGCCTGAACTACATAGACCCTGTCTCAAAAACACTAAAAGCAAAAACAAAACAAATGGCCATCTGTATAGCCTTGGTGTGTTGTTTTCTATTGCTGCCATAACAAATTAGCTTACATGTCATTTATCATTTTGCTGTTGTGTGGGTCAGAAATTGAACACTTATGCCACTTATGTGGTGGCACATACCTATAATCCCAGCACTTGGGAGGCTGAGGCAGGAGGATCACAGCAAATTGGAGGCCAGCCTGGACTACAAAATGAGTTCAAGGTCAGCCTGAACTACATAGCGAAACCCTGCCTCAAAAAACAAAAACAAAACAAAAAATCCAACACTTAGCTGGATGTGGTAGCAAATGTTGTGATTAGCTGTTCAGGAGGCTGAGTCAGGAGGATTGCACAGTCAATGCCAGCCTGGACACCTTAGCAAGACTTTGTCTCTAATAAAATTTAAGGAGGAGTGTAGCTCTGTGGTAGAGCACTTTTCTAGTGTGTGTGAGGCCTTGGTTCAATCCCCAGAACCCAGGACCCGGAGGAGCAATCTACAGCATTGATCACTGGGCTAACATCAGGCTGAAGCTTCCTTTCTGGAGGTCCTCCTGTAAGAAGACCAGTCTTTGCCCACTGAGCTGTTGGCAGAATTCACTTTCTTGTGGTTGCAGGACTGAGGCCCTGGTTTCTTTGCTGGTTGTCAGCTGAGGCTGTTCTCAGCTTTAAATGACATTCACATCCCTGGTTCATGGCACCTGTGAAAGCCAGCATGTCGTTTGCGTTTCCCCTCACATTTCCAGGCTTTTCTTCACCCTTACCTTTGATCCTCTTCTGTGCTTTCCTCACCCTCTTCCCAAATCGGACTCACATGGAAAATCCAGGTTAGACCCTAGCATGTCCACGTGGTTAGCCTCAGTGATTCCTGCAAAGCCCTTCTGCCCTGCATATTATTGGGCTCCAGAAGGAGGCCCAGGACCACTGTTCTCTGCCTCACGGGTGTCCAGTAGCAGTAGGCAGCTGTGCCCCTGAGATGCAACCCATCGACCCCTCAGTTCCCATGTGTGCTCTTCACGGTACAGTGACCCCCCTCCTCAGCGCAGGGTGTGTATGTGTTGCATGTGTGTGTGTTTTTTTTTTTTTTCCGTACCGGGGATCGAACTCAGGACCTTGTGCTTGCAAGCAGGCAAGCGGCAGAACCACTGAGCTAGATCCCCGGCCCTGCACGTGTGTTTTGACACTAGTCCTAAACATCAGTCTCCATTTACCAGATATGTCTTGCCGTTCAAGACTCGCAACCCTAAATGAGAAGCTGACAGCCCTGGAGCGGAGGATAGAGTACATTGAAGCGCGGGTGAGTAGCATGGGAGGGCATCATAGAGAACCTGAACATGAGCCCCACCTGGCCTGGATGTGGGTTTCTGTGACTTACAGCTGTTTTCCTATGAGTTCTTGCTGCCTCAGATCTAAAGTACGTGTGCCGTTTAGATTATTTTAATTGTTTTGAATTTGTCTAAATGTGACTTTTCCTTTGACAGGTGACAAAAGGTGAGACTCTCACATAGGCCTGTGCCGCACTGCTGCTGGGAAGTGCTTTACAGAACACAGGCCATGCGGAAAAGGCCCCAGCAGCCTCCAGCTCCTTCTTTTCACCTTCAAGAGCAACAGGGCTTTTTCTTGTTTTTCTTTTTCCAAAGGTCCAGCCTTTGGGCTCTGCCATGTACATCTGAGAGTGTGGTGTGGCATGGGGAGAAGTCCGGGGTCTCCTGGACACAGCTTCTGCTTTACCTTTCCAGTAATGCACGGAATTACTGTCAGTGTGTCTGAGGTGTTCAGAGTCAAAAGCCTGGGCCTCTGAAGGTCCCCCACCTCTCTCTGACTCTCCTTCCAGCTCTCATTGCCTCTGCCTCTGTCTGCTCTCTGCCTTCGGGGGAGGTTTGGAGTGGGGCGTCCTGGCTGACATGCCAGACATGCACAGTGGCTGCCAGAGAATGTTGCTGACCTAACATTTTGTTCTCGGGAGGTCCAAGTCACCCTCACTTGGCTTGAAGAGACGTTTTCAGAGTTTCCTTTCTGTCACTTGGGCTGTCTGTGCCTCTTGTATTGCCCTAATAAATTCCTCAACTTGATCTGACTGCTGTGATTGTGGAGGGAAGAGGAGTTAGAGCTGAGCTTAGCTGTCCAGCATAAAACCTCCAAATGTAGCTCTCTGATTCAAAACTGAGGGAGCTTACCAGCCTGTGCTTGGACATCAGCTGACTCACGCATCCTGTGAACCGTGTGGTCTTCAGCCGAACTGGGCAAGTCCTTATTGTGCAATAGAACATGCATCGAGTCAAATGCATGCGGTCTGCCGACATCCCCGTGTCCACACAGTCTAGCCACAATCCAGGGCAGACTCCAGGTTCCTAAGACCCAAACGGCTAAATTCCGACTTCCCTTGCAAAGCAAACCCGCTCCTGTAGTTGATGCAAGAACCTAAAATTTGCCATTCTACTGTCCAAAGCTTTCTGTAAACTTGTGGCACCCTTTTAAAGCCTTTTCCCCTGTAGACTCTTCATTAGAGTCACCTTAAATCCCCTAGGCTCTGCACACACGAATTCCCCCACTCAGTCAGTTTTGGTGTTCAGGATCTAGGTCAGGTCAGATTTCCCCTGTAAAGTTCTGTGCATGACTTCTTTCCTTCTGTCCTCCCATGATCACTCAGGGCTGGGTCTTGTCTTGCTTGAGTCAGTCATTCTGTGACTCAGGCACATGCTGAATACACCGAAGCCCCTTTCCTGTGCTGCCCCAGTATTGAGGTGCCTCAGGATACCAATTAAACTGACCCACAGAGGGCAAGCTGCTTTGGGCTTATGTCTTGTAGAACTTCACTTGGACCTCTGAAAGACCATGCTGAGCATCCCTACTCTGAAAGTAGGAAATTCTTCCACATCTGGAAGTGCCAATATAATGCCACAGTGGAACATTGTACACCTAACCAGGTCACAGTAGAAATAGGCACCCTGGAAACACTGCATGAAATTAATTTTAGGTGATGTGTACAGGTGTATATGAAACATGAATTTCACATTTAGACCTAGGCCCTGTCTCCCAGATCTCAGCACACACACCTGTGATCCCAGCACTCAGGAGGCTGAAGCAGGAATATCACTGCAAGTTTGAGGCCAGCTTGGACTACATACCAAGATTCTGTCTCAAAACCTGAAAAAAAAGAAAAAAAACATGTGAAATACTTGTGACCCCAGGCATTTTGCATATAAGATATTAGACATCTTTAAAAATAGAATTATAATGGAGACACCTGTGTCCTTTCCTGTGGTAGGTGCTCCTTTCAGCATTGTTGGGCTCACCTATAGAATGGAATTCTTTTAACTGTCACTGAGGTTCATTATTATTATTTCCCCCGAGGACAAGGAGGTCGGACTTCTCATGTTCAGGGGTTACGTTATCTAGGTTATCTGGTGGTGCTCTGCAATCAGCTTAACTACTTTGGTTCCTGCCACGTGTAAGGGCTGTGACATGAGAGAGTAATGAGGCAAAAGTGATGTCATCTCTGTAGGCAGGAAAGCCCTTTCCATGTTACATGTGAAAATGCTTAATAAAAGTTTTATTGTCCTGTGGATATTAATCTTTTTTTTTTTTTCTACGGGGGATTGAACTGGGGTCCTTGCGCTTGACAAGAAGGCAGCGAAACCACTGTGCTAAATCCCTGGCCCCTTGTGGATATTAATCTTAATTTATTGCTATTAAAAGTAATAAATGCACTGCTGGGGATATAGTTCAGTGGTAGAGTGCTTACATAGCATGTGTGAAACTAGGTTTCATCCTTGGCACAGCCAAATGAATGAATGAATGAATGAAATGAAACAGGCGTGGTGGTTCATGCCTGTAATCCTAGCACTCAGAAGGCTGAAGTAGGAAGATCTCCGTGAGTTCAAGGCCAGTCTGAACTGCATAGTGAGACCCTGTCTCCAAAAAAAAAAAGGGGGAAAAAATGAATAAGTTGGGCATGGTGGTACATACCTGTAATCCCAGGCTTCCGGAGGCTGAGTCAGGATTTTAAATTAGAGCCCAGCCTGGGCAGTTTAGAGATTTAGGGGAATTGTGTCTTAAAGTAAAAGTGGCTGGGGATGTAGCTCAGCCGTGGGCTGAAACCCCAGTCCAACAAATAGTGTGTTTCTAAGTGTGTCCTAAAACCATGTTGCTAACTAACCTGATTGGAAAGAGCAACAGGTAACATTCAGTGCAGGAAGCCAGTGAATGGAGCCTCAACTGGCTGTAATAACTCCTTAATCTTAGAATGTGCTTAAAGGTTTCAGTGTTTTCCTGTGTTGTCACCCTTTGTTTTTCGAGACAGGGTCTTGGCTATATAGCCCAGGCTGGCCTTGAACTTGTGATCCTTTGGCTTCAGTCTCCTGCCACCCCCAGTTGTCAACCCCTTTCCTTTTTTTTTTTTTTGAAGCAGTTCTCACTTTGTAATTCAGGCTGGTCTCAAACTTGTGACAATCCTCTTGCCTCAGCCTCCCAAGTGCTGGAATTTACTAGTTCTCCCAAGTATATATGTATTGTAATTTATTGTTACTATATGCTAAGTGTCTTTCGCAGTTTTTCTTTCTTTGGGGTGGGGGAGGAAAGGGGAGGAAGTAGGGCAGGGAAGAAAAGGAATGGGGTGGTGAGCAGAGAACTGCAGTTTAATTTAATCCTCAAAGGGGCTGTATGAGATAGACAACTGGCTCCATGTCATACAGACCAGGGAAAGAGCTGGGATTTGAGCCCAGACCCAACTCACTCATAGACTGCTCTATCCATCTTTTACTTTTTTTTTTTTTGGTACTGGGGATTGAACTCGGGACCTTGTGCTTGTAAGGCAGGCATGGGCGCCACTGAGCCAAACCCCTGGCCTACCATCTTTTACTTTTGAAGGCGGTGTAACCAGATCTGAAACTGATTTTCTCATTCACAGTCCACTGCCTCTTTATGTGTGAGTGTGTGTGTGTGGTGAGGAACTGGGGATTGAACCACTGAGCTACATCCCCAGCCCTTTTTTAAAAACGTTATTTTTTATTAGTACATGTTTGCAGTATATAATGATTACATTCATTGTGGGGAGTAGGTACATGTACATAACATTTTCTTTTTCTCAGCTCTATTATTTTTTTTAGTTCTTTTTATTTTTTGAGACAGGGTCTTGTAAAGTTGCTCAGGATGGCCTTGAACTTGTGATCTTCCTGCCTCAGCCACCAATCACAAGCATGTGCCACCATGCTTCCTGGCTGGCTCACTTTTGTTCTTTTTTTGGTGCTGAGGATTGAACCCGAGGCCTCTGAGTTGCTAAGCAGAAGCTTCACCACTGAGCTGTATCCCATCTACCATTGTTCATTTGATAAAGATGGCTTTTCTGGGCTTTCCTTGCTATGGCTGGAAAATACTGTTTGCATTAATTCTCTAGGTTCATTTCTGCCAGCTTACTGAAAATGTGCATGTTGTATTTTCTTTTCCAACACTGGGGATTAAACCCAGGGCTTGGTGCATGGCAGGCAAATGCTTTACTGCTGAGCTATACTCCCAGCACCAAGATGAAGTATTTTCTGAAAGTCTTGCTAAAAAATTTAATCCACTCTAGCACTTAACATCCTCTACTGGTCTATGAATTAGAAGCAACTACATCTTCCTGCAGAAAGATCTTTTTTGGTTGTGCTGTAGGAACTGGTATTTTATTTATTATTTTTAATTTTTTAAGTTTTTTGAGATGGTCTTGCTATGTAGTTCAGGCTGGCCTTGTACTCAAAGTGATCTTCATGCCTCAGCCTTCTGAGTGCCGGGGTTAGAGGTGTGTACCACCATGCCTGGCTCAAAAAATTTTTTTTTAATAGCTGGAGATGTAGCTTGGTGTGAAGGCCCTGGGTGCCATTTTCAGTACCACCAAAATAAATAATAAAACATTGGCTTGGACTATCAGACTATCAGAAGTCAACAATAAGAATGCCCAATCAAGAAATGGACAAAGTGGGTCTGGCAGGATACACCTGTAATCTCAGCTACTCTGAGGCAGGATGATCACAAGTTCAAGGCCAGCCTGGGGACATCAGTAAGACCTTGTCAAAAGACAGACGGGCTGGGGATGTAGCTCCGTGGATGGATTCAGTCTCATTCAGGAAAAGAGGGGAACAAAAGATCTGCAGTGATGTTTTGCAGTCAGTGAAACAATGGCGATCAAGAAGCCATCACCAGAGTGTACACGACCAACAGAAGGGGAGGAGATATCTGAAAACCATGCATCTGATAAGGGTTAGGATTCAGGATCCATGAGGATCCTTTTATTTGCAACATTGTTGAGCCTGGAAGACGTTAGGCCCAGTGAATTAGGCCGAGCTCACAGAGACAACCAAAAAGTTGAGCTCAGAAGCAGTAAGTAAATCAGGGTGTTGTGGCGCACATCTGTAATCTCAGCACATGGGGAGGCTGAGACAGGAGGATTGCCACAAGTTCAAGGCCAGGGTGGTCTACATAATGAGTTCAAGGCCAGCCTGAACTATAATGTGGGGCTATGTGTGTGGGGGTGCCTGACCAACCTGGTGGAGGGTACAGTGAAGGATGAAAGATTAAGCCAGACAAAATAATACAAGAGATGATAGGTTTGCATAAATGGGGTCCAGAGTCTGATCTTAGCTAGACTTGTCAATATTTATTGATTATACAACATAGCAGGGGTTGTAAAGGCAGATTGTAAGGAATAGCAGGAGGAATAAGGGAGGAATGATGCATTCTTGGGAAGGACAGGTCATAGTTAACAAGCCTCCCGTGTTATCTTTAGCTAATGTTTGATCTTGGAGAATGGCTGCACACGGTCAAATCCCCAGCTGCAGTATCATCTTGCTATGAGGGATGACACAGTATCATCAGTCATTGAGATCTCAACTGTGACCGTAGGCATAGGGAGTTCCGTTTCTGCATCACAAAGTGTAACCCTTCTGGGGGGTGATGGCCAATTCCTATACCAATGGGAATTTGGGGCCCACCCTCAGAAGGAATGACTGGGCTGGTTATGGGAAAGGCTGATTTAAATTTAAAAGGTACAACTATGATTCCAAGTGTTATTGACCCTGACTGTGAAAGTGAAATTGCA